TAATAACAGCCTTGAAATGCCGAGATAATTTCCAATTATAGTTGAGATTTTAATAAAAATAGCTGTGGGTCATATTTGAATTAATGAATTCCTCTCGTATTCATTAATAGATGTATTCCGTAGATGTATTACTGAGTTACTGAGTGTGAGTCAGAAGAACAGCTCAATTTGACAAGTTCTATTTTCAGCAAACAAGATCAAATTGTGTCTAAATTTACATTTAAATGATAGCCAGTTATTGCCATCCCAATTATGTTGATCTGCTTAAGATTGCCATTAAGGCGTGAGCATCAATTAATTGACGCAAAACACTTAGCCAAAAATGAAGCAATTACAAAATGCCAAAACAACATCGTCGGGGCGTCCCACTCGAGAAGTGTTGAACAGCAATAATAAGCCATTTAGCCATTTAGCCAGTTGGCCCGGCCTACTCGCAGAGACGGGACAGTTTAAGTACACACATATATATATGTTTATAAACAAATATCAAAAATGCGATAAGCGAGCAACCTTGACATTGAGCGCTGACAGGTTGCGTAAAAGATGTGCAACAGTGTGGAAAGTAAAGCAAATATGTCAAGATTGCTCGACATGCGCATACCCTCTGTGAGATGCCAAGTGGTGTATTCAGTTTATAAATCTTGTAGAAATCTACAGAAATATTTTTATTTCTTAATTTAAATTTAAATATCACATTTTATTTTTAATTTATTTTCTACTTTTTGTATTTATGTATGCCTCAACATTTTTTACATTCACATTCTTTCAACAACATTTCGCGATTCCATTAAGAGTTTCCATTGCCGTTAAAAAGTGAGTGGCAAAATTACAGCTTGATTTCAATAAAAGAGCTGATTGGCTTATTTCTATTTGTCTTTGCAGAATGAATAATGAAACAATGAATTAAAGTATAATGCAGGCTATAACCATATTTATTTAAAGCAAGCCAATAAAAAAGGAGGCAATTTAAAAATTAAAAAGGATTTTATTTTTAATTTGCTATAAATTTAATAAATTATGGCAAATAAATTACATTAATTAAATTATAATTGTATTTTAAAATAAACCCCGACTTTTTCCTGAAGGTTGAATGTGCAGAATGTTGAACCTTGTTGTGAAATGTACAGGCAAACAACTTTACAAACAGTAGACAATGTCAGAAATGTTGATGATGGAATCAGCTATAATACACCCAACTGAGTAATATGTATAATATTATAATATACACAGGTGACCTATTACAACGGCATTGAAACCAGTATTCAACCCACAAATTTGCTTTAATTTTATTTGATTAGTGTCAGCAAAACGTGTTGTTAACTTGAAAACTTCTTCGTAGCTGGCCAAAAGTGCACACAAAATTATGCAAAGCTCAACAATAAACGTTAAAAAACAACGTTAGAAACGGTTAACCAAACAATGCCAAAACGGTCGAAATGAGTCATTTTGATCATTGATTTGACTTGAACAAGTTTTTTATTTTTATTCTGGTCCTAAACGCTAAAGCGACAAGATGAGCTCAGACTGAATAGCGTCCGATGTTGTCAGTGGACATAACAAACCAGCTGAACGGTAATAATTGAGAATGCTTGACTAGAAGATACCCTGTAACCTAATCTTAGACGTTAGATGTATATATATGTATATATATATATATATATATATGATATCAGATTGGATAGATATATCAAATTTTGTTTTTATGCTGTGGAAAGTCGATTTATATCGATTTACGTGAAAAGTTGAAAGCTATCGGTGTAATCATAGCTGAGCGGAACCAAGTTATGATTGACTGCCTTTCAGAAGTCGTACACTTCCTAGATATATAAATATTTATATGGCATACCAGATTAGATTAAATTTACCGTTCTTTATGCTATCAGAAATCGATTTATATCGATATGCGAAAAGCATTAATCTATGAGTATATTCCAAATTTATATCAAAATTCTCCATCTCTCTTAAAATCTCTACAGAGGGACCAAAAGGTGGATGCTGATCAGGAATATATACATGACTTATAGGGTGACATCCTATTGCTTAACTTCATTATCCCCTTTTGTACCCATTTTCAATGGGTTCAGGTTATAAAAATATATTCATAGATGAAATTGCAAACCCGTAGATCTGAAAAGTAAATAATAATAAACAGAGAAGCGTTCGAAGCTTTCGTTTGACTTGTGAATTATTTGTGCGTATTTATTGTTAAATGTTGTATGCATGCGTGTGTGTGTGTACGGCTGTGTGTGTGTGCGTGTGTTGTATGTTATGCTTCACCTTTATTTCTCTTTCATGTCCGCCTGTCTCTCCTCTCCTATCGCATCTTGTGTTTCTGCGGCAAGCGTGTCTTCTAGTTGAAAATGCAGCTGTGATTTTTCCCCACTTTCACATTCACAATAAAAATATAGTGATAAGCAGCAAATTGATGCGAATTCAGCATTTAATTATGTATTTTGTTGTTGTTTATTGTTTTGATTTGTTGTTGATTATTTTGTTAATCCTTGTTTGCTTGCTTTAAAATGCTCGCGAAGTTTTCAATTTTTATTTATTGTTTTGCTTTGTTTTTGTTTTTTAAATAACATTTTAACATTATTTTAAATGTAGAAAATATCTAAAAATATGAATTGCGATATTTGAAAATTTGTTTTCTTAATTTAATCTACAAATATGCAGTTTAATTAATTCGCTTCATTCGACTGAATTATCAATTTAAACTTATCAAGCGATCAAAAGTGCATATTAAATTTCACTTTGATTTCCAGCACAGGTACTTGCAACATTCAACTCTCTATGCTGGAAAATGCATTTTCCATGCGACTTTTTACACACAAACACACAAACACTAAACGCTCGAGTCATAAGTCAAGACTTTCAATTAAGCGGCTTAAACTCGACAAAATCAACGACAAATTGTGAAAAGATGCTTAGGAAAGTATCTGTGTATCTGCGCAACTGTGCAGTTATGCATCCATGGCTATATATCTATGTGAGCATAGTAAAAGTGTAAAAATTACAAACAAAAAAAACCCAAAAACAACTTGCGCTTTCACAAAAAAAAAAATTGCAGTTTGCAAATCGATGATTTTAGCCAGATGAAAATCGAACGACAAGTCGAGATGAATCTTTAGCATTCTCCGACTGTGTTTTTTTGGCTGGGAACGCAGTTCCGGGTTGAATGACAGAGGTGATCTGTGTATTGGATTTGGATATTGCCGATCGATTTAAAATAAATTAAAATACACGCACAGCTGCCCAAATACAATGGAAATGCTCGCTGCAAATGTATGTATGTGTGTGTCTGTGTGTGTGAAAGTACGCAATACGAGCAACAACAAAAACAACAACTACAAAAATCAAAGACTATTTCGAAATGGAAAATTGTCAACGCGCATTGAACTTGACGACAAAAGAAAGGCAAAAGAGAGGGCGCAAGAGAGAGAGAGAGAGAGCGAGAGATAGAGAGGGAGACGGAACTGGCTGGCATGCCTCAATTTACAGTTAAGATGCAAAACTCGAATAAGACTTTCGGGCAGCGGAATGCGAACTGCGAAATGCACTTGCAGCGCCAACTTTATCAACAAGCGAAAAGGCAAAAAAAAAAAGTGAAGGGGCCTTTGCAGCAGCCGAGATCCAAGATGTCCGTATGTGTGTCCGCATGTGTGTGTGTGTGTGTCTGGCTAAAATACATTGTAGTCTATTACAGAGGGAGAGAGACGACGTCGACTAGCCGGCGCATAGCGGTACTTTGAGTGGGCATGACGAGGAGCTAATGACTCGGCGCCTCTGTCGGCAGACAGTCAGACACACGACGACGACGATGGCTGCGAGTCGCAGGAAGTCGGCAATTTTTGGTTAACCAAACGAATGCCAATTGGATTGCGGCTGCTGCGGTTTTTTTTTTTTTTTTTTGAGGCTAATATGGAGGGCTGCTGGCATGTGAACTATTAGCGATAGTTTTTGTTACTATTTTAAATGAGCGATTAGCGATAGTTTTTTGTGTCTATTTTAAATTGAGGTATTCCTGCATAACATTATTCAATTAAATTGCACTATGCTTTCTTTTTTGTTTTATTTTGTATTTGTTTTTCTTTCAATTTTAATTTGTATTTTTTTTTTAAATATAATTTTTTTCTTAATTTTATTTTTGTATATTTTTAAATTTATGCTTTCTTTATTTTATTCGTATTGCAGTTCGTCTGATCTCACTGATTTTATAATGCTCAGCTTAGGCAAACATGATTTTCATTCTCGGCAGCATAATTGCGTTTTTCTTACATTTGCTTAATCACTCAATTATTTATATGTATTTTGTTTGGCTGTAGTTTTGCTCGTTTCATTCAATCATTTAATGCGGATAATTAGCAGCAAAAAAGTACGCAGCAAATGTTACGCGTAGAAGAAACTCTTCGAAGACGGCGCGAACGGAACAAATTAATAACGCGCGCGTTGCGAACGCGCTACGTACCAAACTCAGACTGTGAACGGCCAGAAGCAACCAAAGCAGACGGCCAAGCGAGCGCGCCGCCAGCAAACACAAATAGCAAAAACAAAAAAAAACCAGACTCAGTGCAAAAGCAGCGCAGCGCCTGCTTAAGCGGCTTAGAAAAAAGCAGTCCAAAGAGAGAGAGAGAGAGAGAGCGAGAGCGAGCGCAGAGAGCAGTTGCAAACGGAGAGTAAAAGAGTTAAGACGAAGCGATAGCTGCAGCAGCTCCACCGCTCGCTCAGCTGTTGCAAAGTTTGCAGATGACCAATTGTTGTGGTCCACATACAGGGTGTCTTACTTGTATCAAAAAAGGCTTCCGATCATTAATCCTAATTTATAATTCTTGATTTCTGTAAAGCTTAAATTTAAGCCTCAAATATACAATCTTATAACATAATTGTAAATAAATAAATGAATTATAAATATTCCGTTGTTGATCTTAAAAGAATAAAGTACTTATAAAAATATATAAATTATAAAGTTTACTAATAAACCAACTGATCTTTCATTCCATTCCTTTTTTCTTCATTGCATTTTAATTTCCGATTTAAAATTTATTTCTTGAATTTTGTGCCGGATTTCCTGGAAAGAATAAATTAAAGCGTATTGCTTGAATTTTAAAACAAATGAATGGTTAATACACATGAATTTTTAATACATACTAATGCATATGCATTTACTCACTTTGAGAAATATTGTAAAACCGATTTACAAGTTAGATTATGTTTAACAGTCGCCGACCAAGGTCGACACACTTAGGCCATTTTTGGCTCTTGGTGACACTGTGTGGATCCAGAAAGCTGTATTTACGAATTTCGCAATTCTGGCTAGTCCCATATTCGCCAACTGTGTTGATAAGAAATAATTTCCTAAGTAAGGCGTGTGATTCTAACTCCTCTTCGTCTCTTATGCAGAAATCATTGTTGGGTGCTTTGAGCCTATTGGCATGAAACCCGATCCTTTTATTATTTACATTTCAACTTTAATCGACTTACATCACATCCTTTGGCAGAGAGACCGAAATGATAACGGAAGAGAGGAACGACTTCTTGTATGCTTGAAACAGGAGCATGCGAGCAACCAAAATGGGCGCCTTTTACTGTTAGTTTTCAAGAATCTGTGCTGCAAAAGAGTTGAAATGGCCTGTTAGAGAAGAAATATCCCCAGGCAATTACTCAGTAGATTCTACACTTTCCTTTGTGTTTCACTTTGTCTGTGCTGTTAAGCCTGTTCCTATTTTTGAACAAAGATCAAGAAAGTACGGTAAACTTGTTCGCAGACAAATGTTGCGTTCTCTTTGAATATTGCCGCTAGACAAACTTGGCGGTGACTTTATACGATATATCGATAAAAGGAGAGTAAAACGAATCGATGTAAGCTATTACTTTTCAGTTCATGTATCGAATATGATTTATGCTTACACTGAGTAGGTAACACATTATTTTTATATATTCTCCAAACAGGACAAACGATATTTTTGCTTGAACATAGCGCCAACATTATCGGCTCAGAACCGATATTCTTGCAGCTATAATATCGGCACAGCTGATTACCTTTCAGCTGATTTCATTTATTTGCTATTCATACTTTTGTTTTGGCCCTCCGACGAAATGGCCGATCAAAATTGCTTGTTCTGTGATATTGTTAGTGGCAAAACGAAGACAGTCCTGGAGGTAGACACGAATGAATTCACAATATTCAAAGACATACGACCTGCTGCAGAACATCATTATCTAATTGTGACAAAGCAACATTACGACAGTCTAAAGGTTCTCAACGAATCGCACGAGAAAATGAGTTCGTAGATTACAAATATCAATCTGTATTATTTTCTAACTTATGTATTTCACAGTCCTAGCCATGGAGGAGGGTCTGAAGAGCTTCTTTGTATCGAAAGGGATTAGCACAACGGATGCCCTCTATGGTTTCCACTTTCCGCCCTTCATCTCTGTGAAGCATTTGCACATGCACGGAATTGCGCCCCGCTCCGAGATGAATATCATCTCTCGGATGGTTTTCAGACCGGCAACAGCTTGGTTTAAGACTGTATGTACTCCATTCCCTGATTTATTGTTTGCCTATTCCCTTGCAGAGAATATTTGAAATGGAAACAGGCAACTCCGTTTCCTATAGTACAGTCCAACTTCCCTATAAGACTAGAAAATCGCTTTATTTGTTAGTAAATGCTAAGTGGCTGCGAAGCTGTGCAAATCGTGTGGCTGTCTACTTGTAAAGCAGACAAAATACATTCTTAGATGCGCATTCCTTATATTATTTTGTCTGCCAAAAAGAAGGAGTTCCCACGTAAGGTTTTATTTTTCTTGTATTGTTGAGCTACTTTCCATTTACAAAATGTTCTTCCATTACATTTTTTTTCAATTTCTACTACTATTAGGTTTACTGTAAAAAAAATAGAAAACTTATTGAAAAGTAGCCTAAGAAAGTCTATAGATAAAAATCTTCAGGAGTAGAATATGCACAAATGCAGAACTAGAACATGATTGTAGTACAAGAAAACTGCGCTATAGTGATCTGCAATATAATAAATTTCTCCCTGCAAATATTTAATTTCAAGTACAAAGTAAATATATATAAAGTAAACCGATTTTCACTTTTGGGAAGATCGACTATATTTTTTTAGTTAACAATAATGCCAATAACAGACAACTAAGTCATATATATACAGGAATATATTCATATATCTAATTATATACTTATATCGTTCTCCTATCCTATAATTATATGCTTATATATTATGTGTATTGTTTGCATATCCTAACTTTTTTGTAAGGACATTTCAATTTCAATGCACGAAAATAATAATTGCTTTCCTTTCTTCTCCCCCTTATAGACCAGTGAGGCTATTGCTTACTTGAAAAAGAAGCTGAATTAGGTGTGGAACGATCTATGCAATATAAATAAGAGTGCCTAAAGAGTCGCCAAATGAGGGTTCTGCCAAATGATAAACGATTTTAACAATGACGCAAATCAAAATAAATAAATCATTTCTATTTGAGTATTTTATTTTCGGTTTAATGTGATAAGCTGCGTAAATCTTTATAATTCCAAAATTTAACTGACCATCCCTATTTCAAATTAGTAATATTATTACCTAAACTGACAATTCGTGTGTATGCTATTTAAATTACGATTTTACAAATCGCACAAATATATCAGTCAACCGAATTAATAACATTTCTTTTGGGTCGGAAAATAATTCATGCACTCCTGCATCACAAGAAGCGTCAATAAATAGTTTAATCCTTTTGAATAGGAATTCCCGCAGCATCTGGTTCTAATAATGATATAATTATAAATCATCCACACTTTATTATTTTTAATATTAATAGCGATAATAATAATTATTTAAGCTTTCCCATTTCATTATTTTATTTTATATTTTATGTGATAAGCTGCGTAAACTATCACAATTCCAATAAATTAAAAGATAATCACAATTAAATATTAACTATAATAATTATTTAAGCTACTAGTTTAAGATTTTACAAATCGTTAAATATGTTAATGACTTTTCATCTCTTTTGGTTGATAGTCAATTAATCTCTCTCAGCCTTTATTAAACATGTCCTCAAATATCTAGTTTTTAATAGGGATTTCCGCTGCATCTGGTTCTAATAATGACACAATGAAAATCAATAATTATTCGTCTATATCTTATTGTATTAATTTTTTAAATCCAAAAAATTAAAGGACCAACCCAATTAAATCTTTATAGTAATAATTACTATTTAATTTCCGATTTTACAAATCGTATAAATAAATCAGTCAAAAATCTTAATAAATATTCGTCTTTGTTTTATGGTTCTAATAATATTACAAACGCAAATCAATAATGTTTTCTATTTGATTATTTTATTATATAGATCCAAAAAATTAAAGAGACCACCCCTATTAAAAATTAATAATAATAATTACTATTTAATTTACGATTTTACAAATCATATAAATAAATCAGTCAAACTTATTAATAACTATTCGTCTTTTTTTGCTTGTTTGTCAATCAATCAAAATCAAAATCTCAGCCTTTTTGTAAAAATATCCTTAAATAGTTTCTCTTCCTCCCGCTGCAGCATCTGCTGTGTGGCTGTGCATGTGCCGCTTGAGGTACGAGCTCCTCGAGAAGGACATGCCACAGATGACGCATTTAAATGGCCGATCGCCGTCATGGGAACGAATGTGCCGCTGCAGAGCTCCCGGCTGGGCATATGCCGCATGGCAAAGATTACATTTGTGCGGACGTTCCCCGGTGTGGATGCGCTTGTGGACCGTCAGATTGCCAGCACTGGCGAAGGATCGGGGGCACTCGTGGCACTTGAAGGGCCTCTCGCCGGTGTGGGTGCGAATGTGTTCGTTGAGGCGACCTCGCTGAGTGAAGGCCTTGACGCAATGGGGGCATTTGTAGGGACGTTCGCCTGTGTGAGCCCGCAGATGATCCGCCAGATTGCCGGGATTGAGGAATGCCTTCGAGCACTGGGGACATTTGTGTTCTCGTTTCCTGGCATGAAATCGCTCATGGATGCCGAGTTTTTTGAGGCTAATGAATTCCTTACCGCAGATGGAGCAGAAATGCGGCTTGGAATTGGAATTCCTTTCCAATTCGCTGTTCGTTTCGAATTGAACGTCGCACTCGATGAAACTGTTATATTTGACCAACTGCTGGAAGGCTGGAAGCGAGTCGTGATGATTCCATGACGATTGCGATGTATTCGATTGTGTTTCCAGCTTTGCTTGGAAGTCCTCTTCCTGTGGACGTTCCTCTTCTTCCTCTTTGGTCACATTCTTTGCCAGTGCGGCCAGCTGCCAATCGGCTGTTTCGAGCATTTCCTTGGCGCATAGCTGCTGCCAAAAATACAAATGGCTCTGCTCGCATTTCTGCTTGAAGCGAAAACAGTTTTCCACATCGCCAACGCACGCCGAGCACATTTGCTGAGGCAGCGGATCGTTGCGATTGACTTCACAGCTTGTACACTCGCTGATCATCTCCGCCAAACTGGGGCAGCCGTTCTGCTGGTGTTGAGTGGTGAAGATGTCCACCAAATTCGCTGTGGCGTCTCGGCAAACGCGACAAATCTTCTCCATGCCTTGATTTCAGTTCTTTGCGGTTTGTAAACAAATGAATTATTCAAAGGCTGTATTTATTTTGGTAGTGCAGTACTTTTTGGCATTTTTCACTATACTTGCGCAGGCCACATTGCCAAAAGAGTTGTCTTAAAAAATACCAAAAACGCATACACAAAAAAATACAAAAGTAAAAATAGATTAAGTTCAATTCATAATCATTTCATATCAATTCCAAAATAAAAAATAAGAATTACTATAAGATTTCTGGGGTATTTATATGCACTACGTTGATGAAAACGAGTCTTCAGGTTATTTAATAGTAAGTGCTTAATAGTATATATTTTTCTTATTTTATTTAATTTGTATTTTTGTTAATTAGTTATTTATCGTTATTTTATTATGTATTGCTAGTTTCGATAGTTATTTATCGATACAGAAAGATATCGTATAAGGGAATGCAAAAAAAAACAGGAGCATCGAAGTATCGATATAATATCAACAATTCCCGAGTCGACTTCAGCTGTGTGCGCTGCCTCTGCTCGCTCTGCTCGTCGTATTCGTATTCGTATGTTTGTGTCTGTGCCTGAATTTGACTGTGTGTGTGAATGTGTGTGTTGCGCGTGTGTGCGTGTGTGGTGTGCAAAATCAGTGTCTTTGAAAAAGAAAGAAGAAAAAACACCGAAAACAGAAAATTCATCGAAGGCGCTCCAACAACAAAGTTCCTATATAAATTTATAATATTTTTATTTGTTGCTACACAATACGTGCTCGTGTTAAGCGTTAAAGTGGCCAAAATTCGGCGAAAACAGCAGCGCAAGTGTGATAAAAACAGTGTGCCACAGCCTCAGTCTGCAAAACGAACGAAAACAAAAGAGAACAGTGTTGATAGCACCACAAGCATCCTAAGCACTGGTAGCGGCAGCGCCAGCAGCAGCAGCAGCACCACTACCGCCGCCGCCAGCAGCACAGCCAACAACAACAAACGGTGCCGGGCAGCGGCTGACTTTGTGCCTGGAAGCCGTATTCTACTTCCAACAACCAGAGCAGCAGCAGCAGCGGCGTCAGCAGCAGCAGCAGCGTCAGCAGCGACAACAACAACAAAAGCAGCTGCCGGCGAAACTGTTGGCAGTGTTGGGCTGGGCGTCGGCGGCGGCGGTGGCAGCGGGGGACAGCTAACAAAGGAGCCGCCGCTGAATGCCAAGCATCTATCCGTCTCTGTCTGTTTGCATACCGTGCACAAGCTCGCTGCTGACCTTCACGTCGACGCCAACGCCGACGCCAACTGCGACGCTGAGGTAATGTCAGAAACGGGCTGCCGACATTATCAGAGTTATGTGAAGGAGCACAGTTATGACACATTTCGGGTGATCGACGCCTACTTCGCTGCTTGCGTCAACAGAGATGCGCGCGAGAAAAAGGTGAGCAGCTAATAAATTTATCTATTATTATTATCAATATTATTATTATTATTAATTATATTATTATTACTATTACTATTATTATTACTATTACTATTATTATTACTATTATTATTATTGTTATTATTATTATTAGGCCATTCACTGCAACTGCTTCGAGTGTGGCAGCTATGGCATCCAGTTGTATGCCTGTCTGCACTGCATCTATTTTGGGTGTCGTGGGGCACACATCACCAGCCATCTGCGTAGCAAGAAGCACAACGTGGCCTTGGAGCTGTCCCATGGCACCCTTTACTGTTATGCTTGCCGGGACTTCATCTACGATAATCGGAGTCGGGATTATGCGCTAATCAATCGCAAACTGGAGGCCAAGGATCTGCAGAAGAGTCTCGGCTGGCAACCTTGGATTCCCACGCCCAAGGAGACCAACCTACTCCTGGCCAATGCCCGAAGGCGTCTCGTGCGACCCAATGTGACAATCGGACTGCGGGGTCTGCTCAATCTGGGTGCCACGTGCTTCATGAACTGCATTGTCCAGGTGAGCAAAGAGAAAGTAGCAAAGGGCAGTTTTTGGGGAAGATTTCATATCCAATTGTGGATCTGATATTGTTTAAATTATTTTTAATTAGTCGTCTTATGTTTCTATAAACGCTTTGTTTCCAGCGATTACACTAGACAACAAAAACCCATTTTTTATTACACTGGGCAACAAAACACATTTTCTACTTATTATTTAATTATTAAATTCAAGATTGTGTTAAATATCCTTTATTTTATATTTAATGCTTTTTTGTATTTAATATTCCAAACAAAAATTCAACAAACAGTCGACTTCTTTTTTAGGCACTCTTCTATTTTGTTAAACAAAAGATTCCATCGACTAGACAACAAAAAAACTTCTTTTTACACTAGGAAACAGAGTAAATTTACTAATACTATTTGATTGTAGATTCTGCAAGTTATATTTCGGTAAATATATAAAAAAAATATTATTTTAATGGTAATCCATAAATTTGACAGGGTAATTGATATTCTACTAAATTTATTTATTTATTTTATTAAATGTAGTATATATATAGTTATCGCACAAATTAGAACGATATAAATATAATATATAAAATTATGTTTACAAACAAAAAAGACATTTACAGATATAACTTAGAATCGCAAAAATAACGATTTTTCACTTATTATTGCATGTTTTACGTTGTAAAGGTTTGTTCATCAAAGGCAATTAAATATGTCAGATATTATTTTTACAAATGCTAGCAAATCGACAGTAAACATAAAAGATATTTTCATAATTACTAAATCAACAAGCTATAAATATTTTATAAGATATATTTAATTAGGCAAAACTTTCATTGAACCAGTAAGAAAATTGTTTGCCTAAGTTTTGGGAGCATAAACAAATAATAATAATAAGAAAACTTACAAAAATATTGCTTTAAAAAAATTCAATTTAAATAGGCAAAAATGTTTTGGTATTGTAAAGTAATGTTTTAGATTTTATTATTTCATTGTTTATTTATTTCTGTTCTGGGAATAAATCTTGGCTTCTGGATTTTTTTTTTTCAATCTTTTATTTTCAATTTAATTTATATCAATCTGCTTTAACTTAACACTTAACGTTTAATTGGTCTGATTGACTTTTTCTGGGTTTCTCCCAATCCTTTTTTTTTATGTAGCAATGTTGAACCATTTTACAATAATATTTACCCCTTTTTATTTCATGTTAAAATATTTAATTATTTTTTCTAAATTTGTTTCAATGGCGTGGGAGCAGTGCAATAATAGTTTTGATAATCAACATTAAACAAATAAATACAAGTGAAATTCTGATTTAAATAATAGCAGATATAAATAAAATAGCAAGTGTATATTTAATTATTAGTTATAATAATAGACATAATTAAAGTCAAAATTAAAGAAATAAATAAAAATGCAATTATTAATTAAATTTATGCATTTTTCTAGGCGCTGGTGCACACTCCACTGCTGAGCGACTATTTCATGTCGGATCGTCACGACTGTGGCAGCAAGTTGACCCACAAGTGTCTCGTCTGCGAGGTGTCGCGTCTCTTCCAGGTGAGGACATGCGCAGTTGCCACGCGTGGCAGGCAGTCAACTTAATCGATGCTATTTTTTTCTCGCAGGAATTCTATTCGGGCTCACGTTCGCCATTGTCGCTGCACCGTTTGCTGCATTTAATATGGAATCATGCGAAGCATTTGGCCGGCTACGAGCAGCAGGATGCGCATGAGTTTTTCATTGCAACACTGGACGTGCTGCATCGCCATTGCGTCAAGGCCAAGACGGAGAGGGAGCACGAGAGCAAGAGCAACAGTGCCAGCAGTGGCACTGGCGGCGGCGGTACCAACTCCAGTTCGAGTTCATCGAGTGCGAATGCGAATGCATCGCATTGTTATGGCCAGTGCAACTGCATCATCGATCAAATCTTTACGGGCATGCTGCAGAGCGATGTGGTGTGCCAGGCGTGCAACGGCGTCTCGACCACATTCGATCCCTTCTGGGACATCTCACTCGATCTCGGCGAGACAACGACGCACGGCGGCGTCACGCCAAAAACCCTCATCGATTGCCTCGAGCGATACACTCGCGCCGAGCATCTTGGCTCGGCGGCCAAAATCAAATGCTCCACCTGCAAATCGTATCAGGAGTCGACCAAACAGTTCAGCCTTCGCACTCTGCCCAGCGTCGTCTCCTTCCACCTGAAGCGATTCGAGCACTCGGCCCTGATTGATCGAAAGATCTCCTCGTTCATTCAGTTTCCAGTCGAATTCGATATGACTCCGTTTATGTCGGAGAAGAAAAATGCTTACGGCGATTTTCGTTTCTCTTTATATGCGGTTGTCAATCATGTGGGAACGATTGACACGGGACATTATACGGCATTTGTGCGGCACCAGAAGGACACGTGGGTCAAATGCGATGATCATGTGATAACGATGGCGTCGCTCAACCAGGTTCTCGAAAGCGAGGGGTGAGCAATGAATAAGTGAATCACATTTGAATGAATTTTAATTTAACATCCTTTTTTATTTGCAGTTATTTATTATTCTATCATAAAAATATACTGGAATACGAGTGAGTTTTGAGGCACGGAGAGGCATAAATGTAGCATCCACTGAGACTGGCATCCTCCACCCACACACACACACACATACACACACCTAGAAATGCAGACAAGGCTTGCAACAAATCTTAAACTTAAACTTAATTAATGAAAACAAAAACCATATTTGTTCTAAGTATTTCCAGCACATAATGCTAAAAACTAAACGAATGCTAAAAAAAACAACAACAACAAAATGCTTATGTATGTAAATCAAGAAAAACCAAGATGCATGCCAACAAAAAATGTGAAGCATCAACAAAAAACCAAAAAAAAAAAAAAATCAATTTTGCTCTTACTCATGAGAAACTGAAGAAACAAACAAAATCGAAAAACTTACTGATAAAACCGACGTCGTCGTCGAAGAGCAGCTATTTTGTTTTGTTTACCTATAAAAAGCGGCGGCATGAATTCTTTTTATTATTATTTATCAATTTCGCACACACAGAAAATGAGACAGTCAAAAAAAATACAAAAAATTTATTTATACCACTTGGGCTCGTCCGGGAATTGAACCCGGGACCTCTCGCACCCGAAGCGAGAATCATACCCCTAGACCAACGAGCCGGTTGAAGGTGGATCGCCATATTGTATATTTCACATTGCTGACAATTGTATTTTGGGTGTATATTGGGTAGTGCATGCAACACGTGTCAGACAGAGATGTCCATAGTGTACTTGCGTGTTTGAGTCCTTGCTAAATTCATTGCTTGCCTGCGCATTTAGCAAAGACCCCAACCGATGTTGCCAAATTCTGTTATATTCAAATTTGCTATTGAGAGGAGTTTTATTTTAATATTTACTTTTTTAATTTAAATATACTTACGTGCCATATTTCTGTTAAAATAAAATTGGCTGAGACACCCTAATTCTACTCAATCAAATTACGTGTTTGTCGGTGAAAATTAACTTGTCATGAATCAGAATAGTTCAGAGAGTGACAGGGTTGCCACCCCTGCAAAAGGTATTTATAAGTCAGTTGGGATTAAAGCCAAGTAATATGAAGTCTCTGTTTTAACTAATTAAAAGGAAGAAGCTGTTGTAATTTTTGAGGTAGAAAATTTAAAGCTAACAATGGGAGTTAATAAATAAACTAAATTGGTGTTGTGGATTGTATCTATATGTGTACTTTACCTCAAACGGTTGACTTTAGCAGTTTGCCAATTTATTATCGTGTGCAAAGAAAATAAATTAGAAACAATTTGAAAAATAAAAATGGCTAATTTTAGTAACAATAATATTATTATCTACGAAACAAGAATATTAAATGAAATTTAAAAAAAATTATAAACTTCTTTTTCCTATTTAAGTAACGGAAAATAACACCATACTTGGGATAAGGGATAATAAATAAAAAACAAATATACCAAACAAACTGGTCACACTAAATTCAAATTCTACACTTACATATATATCTAAAAAACATAAGCTGGCAATCGTATTGTCTTCCAGCATGAATGGCCCCATTCGCCAGCACTGTCAGTTGGAAGCAAGACGAATCAAAGGCGATCGACTGGATTCGATACGAATAATTGCAAAATGAATTTCAACAAAGACAACAAATCAAAGAAGTATTTGCGGCAATTGGCCGTCAGTAAAAAGGTGAGCGATGCTCGCCAGGAAGGCTTGGAAAACTGCATCTGCAATCGCAAACGGGGCTTGATTTTCTGCGCTTCCTGCCAGAAATCGTTCATGGGCCGCACTGCTGAACGCTGCGCGGCGCATCCAGAAGTAAAACTATGGATGAAAAATATAATCTAAATTCATCAAAATTTTCTATGAATTTTTTTCAGGTTGCCTATTTGATGGATGCGCGCAATTGCGCTTTTTGTGGAGCCGCTGGCAAAGATTTGCGAATGACGGATCCTATATAAAATCAAAGATGATGTCGTTGACGATACATTCAATATTAATTGAAAAAATGATGCGTAAAATCAGTGAAAACACATAAAAATAAATACATAAGTGTGTATTAATTACACACATACACACACACACAACGAAGTACATAAGTGTGTATTAATTACACACACACACACAAAATAAATACAAAAACAAAAATCAACAATGTTGCTCTTACAAATAATAAACTGAAAAAAATAAACGAAAAACTTATTGATAAACACGAGGTCGACGTCGAATAGCAGATATTTTTGTATATGTATTTGTAGATTTTGCTGCGTCGGCATATTCCCCCTATTCTTTTAGCGTTGGAGACAGCCGCTTAGCACCGTTATTTCAAGAAGGGTTGCCAGCTTGGCTTCTTTTCAATAAGCTAAGAAAATTTAAAATGTTCGCTTGCTCTTTAATAATTACATAAAATAAACTACAAAACTAATGCCAAAGCAAATGTTCATTATGTTATTTATTATTAATATTAAAATCACAACATGTCAACCCGAGTGGCATAGTTGAACCATTTTCGTTTGAATTCGCTTGCAATTTGCTTATCTTCATAGGGTAATCGATATCACATAAAACAGGCTGTTTACGTTTCAAGAAATGTGTAAATACTGGCGATATGCCCACAAGCACAAATGCAAGTATGTGCACTGCGTGTGTTTGTGTGTGTGTGTGTAGTTGTCAAAATGAGACAAATCAGATGTTCTTGGCATTAAATGTCAATATGATTAACTGATATGCCCGCTTCCAGAGAACTTCATTAGTCGACAGAAAAAAGCGGCGCAGTCAAGGCACAAAAAAAGGAAATAATAATAAATAAAATGGGTAACTATAAACATAATAATAAAATATGAATAATATTTGTAAACATATGTTTGCCACTCGCTAGCCCCATCTAAATCTTTTTGCGCAGAGTCAAAAAAAGATGTCGATCCGAATAATAATGAAAATGATAGCTTGAAGAAGACTAGCAAACTTAAATTTGAGCTACCCGCGAACTATAAATACGAGGTGCAAGAATGCATCTGCTTTCGCCCCAAGGCAGCATTCGAATGCAGGCGTTGCAATCATTACATCTGTGGACGCATCTGTGAAGTCTGCCAACAGCATCCAATGGTGAGTGATTGAGTGATTTATTGGTATTAACTGATTAAATGCATTAATATTATATTAGGTTACCTTTCTGATGGACTTTCACTGTTGTCCTTGTTGCTCGGCGCCCACAACGGACATCAAATTATCCCAGTTGAGTCTGGAAGAAATTCACAAAATAGAAGATGGCATTTTGCCGGGCGATAACGATGATTTCAACTGATTTTGATAGTCAGCAGTGAATTATTTGCATATCAGATGTACTAGTCACATTGCATAAATCGCAATATTCTCTGGCAATAAGTTATCCGATTTGAGTCTGGAAGAGATTCACAAAATGTAAGATGTCATTTCGATAGTTAGCATTTAATAAATTACATATCGCATGTATTAGCCACACTTTTGTTACATAAACAACAATGTATATATATAATGCAGGTAATTACTTATCAAATGTTAATCACATTTTTGTATTGTTAAGTTTAGCACAAATAACAATGTTCAAACTGCCAACAATCTCTGTATAATACAGCTAACAGTCACTCCATCGACTGTGCAACATGGCTTAAATCAATAATAGACACACATGCACATCCCGCTGTCCTGGCATTTATGAAGTGCTCAATGTCGTCGCCAGCTTGCAACGAAGTTGCACGTAAGCTGGCAAAAAAAAAGACAAGGCGCCTAAGTATCAGCTTGGCACAGTGCACTCTGGGCTTCCACTGTGCGGCATGTGGCATATGTGACTGTTGGCAACCGTGACACGGCATCGAGGGAGTAAAGAAGTGTTTTTAGCGCTGCACCGATTTAAATTCCTCATCTTTTTTTTTGCAGTGCGAGAGTATCTGTTGCCCCCAATTTGTGCAACAGCTTTGGCTGCTGCCGCATTGAGTGCACATCAGTTGCAAGTGTCTGTCCCCCAACCCCCCGGCTAAAAGCTCAATAAGCTGCAATATCTGAGGAGCTGTGAATTTAGTTAGAAAGAGTTCTCGCTAATCTTATAGACGGCCATCACTGAAATGGGCAAACACACATAGTCCTTTCACTGATAACAATTCAATCACTTACAAGTTCAATTTGCCCCCCAATGCAACCCAAGTGAGTTCAACTCCGGCAATCTCTGCAAAGCATTTCTTCAAACAACTCAATCTCTGCTGGATATTTTGCATATATCTCTCGGGAGAACGCTTTAGATGGCAGCTGCTTGAATTTATTTTTGCCCAGGTTTCACTTGACTCAACACAGTTTGCACAGCTACCCAATGGAATCCCCTCCCTCCTCCCTTCGGCTTCCCCGTACGGCTGCAATTGATGCCTTGGAGTGCATGTTGCTTGGTCAACCTTTTATTTACTTCTGCTTACAACTAACTAAGTAAGTAATACACTCAGCAGAATAAAATCGCATTAAGTTTAGTAAATCGCTCTAAAAATTAAAAAGATGTTTCTAAGTAAATAAATAATTTAAAGCGGCTTGCCTTCAATTTTTTTTTGTTAAATATTTTCTATTATTATGAAAAAAAAATCTTTTAAAAAGTGGCAAAAAAAATCATAAATTTGTAGAGTAAATCCTTTCTAAAATTCAGAACAAAGTATGCCAGTTTTGTTTTCAAAGTAAATTATATAGATTTATAAGCTATGTAAAATGTTTATTTATTTGTGAAGTCAAAATGTTTATTTATTTTTTAGTAAAAATACTAATGTTTAATACTAATATAAGTGAAATAAGAGCTAATATAAGAATTTTTCAATGTATGCACATAGAAAACACAACTGAATAATAGGATGACTAACCATTGGCGATTTACTAAAATTATCCGCGATTTTTTATGATGAGTGAAGTGAGTACTTCTAGCATGTGTTAAGCATTGCCGATATTATGAATATGATTTTATTTTTCAGTTAAACGCAAGCAACTATTTTAAATAGTTAATAAAAGTGATATTTTGCTTGGGCAGCTTCTTATTTAGTTGTGCTTGTACTTACAAGAAAGTAGTTCGTAGTGCATAGTAAGTGCTTCTTGCATGTGTTTAGTGTTTGTCTACATTATTAAAATGATTTTATGTTGCAGTTGCATGCAAATGTTTTAAATATTTGATAAAAGTAATTCAGTTACAAAGCAAATTGTTTAGTCGTATGTTTTCTGTATAGCTGCATTTGTAATTTGTCCCCCATTTCCCATGCTCCCGTTGCCAACGCTTGTTGTCCTTGACAATAACCTCGGGGCACTTTCGAGCGAGTTGCACAATTTACTTTCATGCTGATTTTATTTCACAAGTTGCCTGGCAACCAAATGCAACTTCTCCCATCCCTTTTCAAGTTCTTTTTTTTGTTGAGTTTGTGGCTGGCCGACAACTTAACCAAGTATTAGCACCATTAAAGAGCCGTCCGTTTGCCAAGGCAAATGCTGTTGAGGATTTTCCAATTAGTGCGGCTATTTGGAGTCGCTCACCCAATGCTCTACCCCTTCTGCCCCTCCCCCTTGTCAACATTGGCCAGTGCATTGAGTTTGGCATAATCTTGGCAATTAGTTTGGCTCGAGTCGAGTAGAAGTCGCTGTTGTTCGCTTGATTGTCGCCTCTGCTGCTCTTGTAAATTATGCAATTGCTTAAAATATTCATGAAAAGTTCCATGGCCAGTTGCAACAGTTGCCCTGCTCGATGCAACCCCGTTGCCCCATTGCCCCATTGCCCCGCCTCTCGCCCCCTCCGCTCTATTTGTGCTGCTTGAAAAGTGAATGTTGTTGTCCTTATAGTGCTTGGGCCATTGTCAATGCGCCTTTCATTGTTGCCTCTCCTCTTGCTGCATCCTTACAGCACTTGGGTGCCACTTGGCGTCGCCCGTTCCATTATTGAAGTGTGCACTTCCGCTAAATGGTATTTGGGGCAAGCACATAAGCTTAAGAAGAGCAGATACTAGATAGCAGATAGCAGATAGCACATAGCTTACCCCCCTGCTTCCGTTCTACGAGTTCAAAACTGTTGTGTCAAACAATAAAAGATGAGGAGGGGTGGTGCAGAGGCAGTAAGGCGGCAATCTAATTACATTGTTGCATATTGCTAGGCGTTGATCTGTTTATTAGCAGATTACAGAATGGGGGAGTTCCAATTTATAAGATGTATTCGGTATTATAACAGAGGGTAGTAGAGGGAATTCACTTTGTAAAGGGTCTTCTAATATTGTTGTCAAGTTTGCAACGACTTGAAGTAAACCGACCCTTTCCTCATAATATATATATATTTTCTTAATCAGCATTAATTGCCGCGTTGTTATAGCCATTTCTATATTGATGAAACTCTGCATATTTAAGTATTTTTGCTACAAGCTATAAATATTATGGAGTTTAAATAAATAATTTAATTAAAATGATTTGCTTGAAGTTTATTCCCCTAAAACCTAGAGATATTTATTTAGCTTCATTTGATTATAGCCGATATAAATATTAAAATCAAATTAAAATAAATTCTGAGCGCAAGAGGGGCATTTGTCTATTAGGAGTGTCCGTTAGAGTTCTGGAATTAAATTCATGCCACATAGGGCTTCTGTGGCACGTGCTGCACTACAACCACACAATTGGTAGTTGTATTGAATCTACTCCATCTGGCCAACTGGACAGATGGCATATTTTTCTACAGAATCTGCTTTGTTAGCGTTATTCAAATTTTACCTCAACAAAGCTTCTTCTTTTGGCTTCACTTGGGGTAAATACTGGCGCCACCTGCCGGTACATTGGTAGACTAATTTTTTCAAATTTGATTAAATTTGATTAACAAGAATATAATTAAATTGAAATGATTATATTAAGAACAAGTTGTATATTAATAAGCTTAAGTAAAACTGAAGTAATTAAATGGTGGCTTTAGCCAAAGATGTCTTTAAAAACAAAGAGTTTTACATACACAATTCGACCGATTTCTTATATAGAAGATATGTATGTGATATGTCCACTAAAATGTTCTCTTAAGTTATTAATTATTATAGGTTCTTAATTATTATTAAGCATCTGGTATTTTTTCTATAAACTCAAGACTTAACCTATAGTTTTTATCATATCTTTATCATATATTAATTCGATCAGGCCTACAAATTAACTGACTGGGAATATATATTTACTTTTTGATTTTGGAGTTGAGTGCTTTAACTCTTATACTTTTTATATGCAAAGAAATTACCCCAGCCAAGGATATAAAAATGTTTCGGACAGCACGTAATTAAATCAATCCTTGGCCATATGAGATGCCCTCGGATCAACGTAATTTTCGATGTGCAACAGCCCACCAGCCCAGGTCAGCAAATTAATTTCATTTGGCGCCTTGTTTCATGCCCACGATTTGAGTTTGGGCTTCATCTTTGCAATGCTGAAGATATTTCAGCAATTTGAGCCAATTTTGTTGAATTTTTCTGAGAATCCAATCAGAGGCTTCACCACGCGTTCCTTTTGCTTGGCGTGGATGGATGCTTCAATCATTGCTGAAAGCTGTTGTTAACTGGGTTTGTAGCAGCTGCCCATCGCCTGTTTCCAGGTGTAGTTAAGGCCCACTCATATCCTGTTTTTGCCTTGTCAGAGACTTTTAAACTTTTCTTCCGCCTGTTTTCCATTTAAAGCAGCCTTAACGCGCTTCCAACTAAATTGTTGTAAAGAAAAGTTTGCTTTTCCACTTTTTCATTGAACTTTGTGGAAAAACCGCCATGTAATATGTGGAAAATGTAAAACTCTAATAAAACTCACGTAATTTAATGCTGTTTCTGCGAGCACAAAAGAAAAACAATTTTCGGCTAAAAGTGAACTTGTTTCTTATGACAAAAGATAGCATATTCAATTGTGAAAAAAGCAATAAATAAAAAGCATTTCAGTTTTGGGTATCAATAAGGGGATGGCGGAACAGTTTATTTTTACTTTGAATAAAATATAACAACTACAAGCAAGAAAAGGGAAAAATGTAATTGAGTCAGCTAAAGGTTAAACAAGTTTGCTTTTATTCATTTCACTGGCCTAGTGCAGCGCTTAATGAACATCTGAGGCGAAGTGTGAAGCCATTTGGTGAGCGCTGAAATTCAGATTTAATTATAACTTTAATTGATATAGTGTCTAATTTGACGTACTCCATCTGGAACCCACAACTACGGGGCAAACCGAGTGCAGAGATCGAGGATCCGGTGTGCCATCATCGAATAGATTATACCAAAGGAGACTGTTGCCTTTTTGGGGCTGAACTGCAACTTGAATGTCGGGGAATACGGTGGCGCCACCTAGCGGCACATCGCTAGACTGTAAAATTGTTAATGGTATTTGCAGAATTCAAAATTGTCTGTAGTCGCAGACTCACATAGAATATTATACTAGCCAAACGATCTCCCAGATCTCCAACATCCTCTTTCCGCACACGCTTACCAAATATATAATCGTAATGGGCCTCAAAGTTGTTGCCAATGCCAAAGTTTGCTACCTGCACCGAGGGAAATTCTTTTAGATCGAAACCGGTCATATCCGTAATGCGTTGATTCATCCTCTCCAAGAACGGTGTATTCTCAACCAGCCAGTTAACACGTGCTGCAATATCGGTAACCTTCGTTTGATTCGCCTTGTAGCCATGTATGTAGCCGTTTTGCATCTGTGGAGATAGTCGCTTCATTTCCTCGATTTCGCTGTCGTAGATCACATTGTGATACATGACTACATATGGATCATGATTGATTTCCTCCAGTTTAAGTGGGGCCAGTCGTAGAAATGGCGTCGTTGTAAAGTTATAACGACAACTGAGATTGTGGCGCTTGGGAAAATGTCCTCGACAGCCCACAAATTCGGGTGTGGCAATTGGCTGCATCGATTGTAGTTCCATAAACAATTGATCATCATCTTGATTAAGTAGTTCGTTCACATAGCTATCCAAATCAGTTGAACTGAGTGTTTTGAATATGTCATTGACTTTCTCATGAGCCTCTTCAGGATTCATTGATGCTTGAAGTATTTGCATAGCTGGAATATATTTAATGGTTATATACAGGGTGTTAAACCGAAAGGAATTTGGGTTCCGATTGCGAGTATGGTATGTAAAATATAAAAATAGTCCAGTATTTTCCAAACTTTTTCTTCAATATTCTGTTACGTTTCTACGAAACTACGAATACAATTCAGAAGTTTGAAGATTTTAATTACTTTTTTCTAGAATTTAGAAAATATTTTTTTTTACAAATTGTAACTTTCGTTTCCACTTTTTAAAAATGTTTTTCTTAATAAAAATATTGCTAAAAAATTGACAAACTCGCTATGTTTTTAGGAATGTGGATTTAGGGAAAGTTTTTAAAATTTTCATCCCAATTAGAAATTATTCCTAAAAATTAGATGATACAAAAACGTTATATTTTTGAACACAGACAGACAGAAAGGTTCTGTTTCTGATTTCAAATTTGAATCGGTAAGAATGTGGTTCCGATTCGGATTCCAATTCCGGTTTCACACAATGTTTACATGCTGTCTGCTGTTTAGATTTGTTTAGTTTGGTTTACCTAGTAACATGTGAGTTTTAAACAAATTTTGACGCACTGCGTCGTCAAGTGGCTGTCCAAAGAGCTCGGTATTCGGTTCAGGTTGGCGCTTCAAAGCAATGCGATACCAGATTAAAGCCCGAGCATAATCACCAATCTCATATTTGTGATTGGCTATTGCCAGACAGTCGCGTGTGTTGAACGTAGTGCTGTAGGACATCTGTTTTGTATCAATAGAGTCTTGCAGCTGTGTTGAATCACTCACTTGAATTGCATGTCCCGCAGGCGTCCTTCTGCCACGTCCATGGGATTAAGGTCGTAGGTCAGCTCGATGCGACTGATGCCCAGCAGCGATGCATCCATATCCTCATTAGTGGGCACTATGTCCAATAGCGTTGTCATAGTTTCCAGTTGATCTGTTTGACAATTAATTACGGGGTAGTAAACTCGTCAATAAGTGCAAAATCGCAAATACCTTTGCCCACCTCCGCCTTTGTAAAGATTTCCAGTTGGGGCCAATCTTGCCGCAGACGTCGAATGAGTCCTAATGCCCTCATCGGATTTGAGATGTATTCTTCTCTTCCTTTCTCTGTTGCATGAGCAGCGCTGTCAATTGTCCTTAAAAACCTTATGGTATTATCAAACAAAAGGGTTTTATCGTTTATTATATGGAGACAAAAGTTGAACCCACTAAACATTATGAACCATATTTAACGATGATATCTGAGAAGTGCAGGAATATGTTTAAATTAATATTTATACCTATTGGATTTTTTTTTGTATTTCTTATATTAAAATGAATATTAATTAGTTGAAAAAAATAAATTATTACGATTATTGTTAACGTAAATTATAATTTTACAGTCGTATCAAATTCACAGTCAACAAATGTATTCAAGTTAATGGATGGAGTGAAAGGAATCTTCAAAATTCTTTCAATTTTTTTAAAATTAAAATTTAAGTATTACATTTTATTTTGAATTTAATCAAATCCATTTTTTACTGTTTTTTTTTTTGAGATATTAGTCGGCATTAAATAAATTAACCATAGAAGAGGAAAACTCTTTTAGGACAAGTGGACGAATAATTACTGGTCTGCGAATATAAAATTTTTCCTATAACCATGTACATTTATTTTTCTTTTTAGAAAAAGACAAACTAGTCTTTTTTTTATAAAACTTTGAAAATATATATATAAAATAATAAAACATAAAATATTTCCAGCATTAGAGCAGTTGTTTTGCAAACTTACCAGTTATACATGTTTTATTTTATCTAGGATCCTCAGGATCAATCCGTGCAATATATATATTTGCTATTTATTATAATTCCAATTAACATGTCAACTTACATTTGTAGTGTTTCCAACTTTTTCTGCAAGGCATCTGCAAAGCCCGTCAAATTTATTACAAGCTCATCCTCCACTTCTAAAAGCTTTAGTAAGCCTTGTACAGAGCTGCTATAATACTCTGTATCATAATCCTTTACGAAATTTGCATTGTTTTCGTAAACCACGATTAGAAAACTTATTATTGCGAGGTGACACTTCATGTTTAGCACGTCTAGCCAAATCGGACTAACAACTTTTAATGAACTGGCATCAAGACAACTTAACACAAATGCATTTAAAATCTAATTAGTTATGTCAAATTTGATTCGCTTAATTTCGGTCTGACAAACAGCTGCAGTTACATAAAGGTAAAGTGTATCTGAACTTGAAATGCTATTTCATATTACAGGCAAAGATAAAAGAAGGGGTAAATCGGTTCTCCAAGGAAGTCTCAGCATTCGTCATGCAAAAACTTTTAACTAGATATATTTGTGGCTGGTCTATTTACCTACTTATTGATATCTATAAATTCATTAAAACTAAATTTATGAATTTATAGCTCACAATATTTGGGTAAATAATGGTATACAATGGCATACAAATATGTGTCGAAAATGAACATCTTACTTCACTTAGAGTCTACTAACACTGGGTATGATCGATTGTCAACGTGATTATCAACGCTCTGCTGGTGGTCCACACAGACTTAGTGGGTATCCTTACAAAACTGTTGACTAGACACAGCTGAAGCAGTCAATTTACCTGTGGCGCACATAAGAAATGAGAGCACTTTCACTCATAGTTATACTTGAGTTTCCAAACCTTTTTCAAGCCAAAAATATTTAACATTGTTATGCTTTAAATGTGGGTGTGTGTGAGTCAGATTCTAACAGAAGTCCTGCATCCTGTTAGCTATCTGCTTGCGTTACATTATTCATGTCCATATGCTATTTATATATCACTTAAGCAATTTGTTTGCTTTACTTAATCTTATCGCCATTATCAAATATCTATTGTGCTGATTTATATTGGCGCGACATTTCAACAATTTAAATTGCAAATTCAAACTTTCGGACTGGATTTATTTATGCGTCTGAGTCGGTGCCACATCCGATGCTTGTCTGACGCAGCGCATTCATACTCTGTTCTTTTCTTCTGATTTTTCTTCTGAAAATCACTTGATTTGATTCAAATAAATTCCTCTTGATTGAACACCTGATATCAAGTAGATGTCTGGACTACACACTCATATTGTTCACATAATGTATTCATGTGCGACTAAAGTGCGTTGCCCTTTGTCCTTTTGTATAAAATATAAAAATAAGTATGCTCCAGCAGATACTCGGTTTAAAGGAGCAACAATATCAGTACGATACAGTCATACAAGGAATGCCCTAAATAATTATTTTGTACAACTTTTCTTACCCATATCTATATTCTGATTTTCAGGATTTGAAATTTTAAACCAATTAACTAAGGTTTTCTTTGCTTGACACACACGTGGATCATCTCAAAGGTGGTTCAGATTGAAGATTTTTGAGCAACTTAAATACGAGTATTTTTTGGTTAGTCAAAATTTTTGTTTTGTCGCAAAATAAGTAAGTTAGTCAGTTATGCAAAGTCTATTAGACTATACATAAAGATATATTTTTATCTAATCAGTCCACATTCTTAGTCTGTCTGCTTTACGCCAGAACTTTTTTAAACATTAAATTTTAAGTGAAGTTGGAATAAAAACTATCGATTAGAAATGAATTCTTAATATACACAGCTTGTTGAATTAAGCATATATAAAATTAAGGATAATCGATCGATTGATATAAATCCCGCTTCTTCAGAAGTCATTGTAAGGAGTTTGCAATAACAATTCGTATAGCTGCAAATGTATTCATTATTCTGATCAAGATACAAATTGTATCACTTTCAGTCATATGTCGTATACACAATTATATTTTTGTTGATGATGATTGTCACTGCTGACGCAATTTGTTTTCAAGGTAGCCGCTTGCGATGGATTTATTGTCTGTGGCAACAATCGTACATTTCAATAATAACAATAGGAAAAGCAATAAGCAAAGTTTATTTGTGTACATGCAAACATATCTCATAAAGTCAATAGGGACAAGCAAATTTGTCTAATTTCCAGTGTGATGTTATTTTCTATGTTGTATTATTATTAAACATTAGTATTTCCAGACTTCATATAATTTAATTTGAAAAGACAGCTAAAAAACTCATTTAAAAACCGAGCCAGTAAATTCCAATACTTTTTTTCTGAATTTTAGAAGGGATATTTTTAAAAATTAGGGTTTGTATTTTCCTGTTTAGAAATGGTTTTCTTTATAGGAGGAAAATATTTTCATAAAAAAAAAATATATATATATAGGCGGGATTGTTGACTTAGGGCAAGCCTTTCTAAATTTTAGAAATTTTAGCTTAATATTTTGAAATTATTTCTAAAATAACAAGGATAGCTTTTTATGTTTTATGGCTGCTTACTAAAATTAAGTGCGTTTTTTTCTGAGTGTGACTGAATTACTATTAACTATGTTTCACGTTTAGTTTGACTTGCTCTCCTTACATATATGATTATATTTCTATTAAAACCAGCAGAAGCTGAATTGCATGATTTGATTTTTTGACTATATGGCAAGTCTTTTGATTCGCTTTTGTAGTGTGTGTGTGTGTGTGTGTGTGTGTGTGTGCGAGTGAGTAACAATTGATTTTGATTTCGATTTGGCTTGGCTTTAAATAGCATTGAGTTACGACCATAGCAAATGGCAAATGGGAATGGAATAGAAATAGAAATATACATAAATATACTCGAATTCGTCTTCGGGCTCATCGCATTGTTCTTTTTCTTCTTCTTTTTTGGGCATTATGTGTGGCGCTTCATTTACTTTATGTCTTTTGTCTGCTTCTTATGTATGCAATAATATATATACATTGTGTATATATATATATATATGTATACAATTTAAATGAGATTCGTTCTTTGACTGAGCGTTGCATTTTTATGGCAGACGTGCCATAATACACAAGCACACAAACACCCACTTACACACATAATACCTCCCTCCACTCGTACTTGCTCCAACAACGGTCATCGTTAAATGATTTTGGACTGTTCTTTTATTTATTGTATGGCGGCTACTTGATGAGCGTTTGCTGAAAATGTTTTATAGCCCATGTGGCAAATTCCCTTTGTCATTCAATGGTGTCAATCAATCATCGATGGCAGTCGACGCAGCATTTCAAGTGAAATGCGCATTTAATACTTTTGATGGTTCTCTTTATTTCCTTCTTGTTCTTCTGCTCGTTTTATTTTTATTTTTATTTTTATTTATTTTTTTTTTCATGCATTCACTCACACACGCTTATGAACTGTTCACAGAGCACGAAATCTACTTAAACTGCTGGGCGTCAACCTGTTGGACATCCATTTATCACAGATGCCAGTGCTCAAAACGGCGGAACTAATGTGTCCAGCGTCATATTTGAATTATGTATTATTACGCTGAGCATTATTTCCCCCTTCGCTCCTGGCCAAGCGGTGCACCATCGAGAGTGGGAAGCACATGAGTGTAAAAGTGGCGGCGCGTGAATTCCATACGATTTACTAACACTGCTTCGAGGACGTCAACTTTGACGTGGGCTGACATTTCATTTGCTTTCGCAATTTATCACCAAAATAAATGTCAACAATAAATCCATTGGAGTTCAGATGTCTGCTCTATGAAATATCCTATTTTAGGATGTCGGAATATATTTAAGAATTACTTAAAAGCAGTCTTTGAAATATAATTCAATCTGTAAGACGTGCATTATATTGTAATTAATATTGGGTCAATTAATTCAAAAGACTTACACTAAGACTGATTTTTCTACTAAATGAAATCTAAAAGCCTTCATGTTCTTATTAGCACATTTCACAGGGTATAAGCGAAATATAAAAATTGATTTAGAAAAGTTTTGGGCAAGTCAAACTTTGGAGAAATGGGAATGCATTTCTGTGAAATATCCTGTTTTAGGAATGTTTAAATTCATTCAAGTATAACTTAAAAATGAATAATTAAATTTAGGATTTATATAAATTAAATTAAATTAACTAAACACACCATTATCCATTAAATACAATTGTAACACAAAATCACTGAACTTCTCACTATATGAAATTTAAGAGCATTCACATTCTCATGGCTACAATTCACAGGGTATAAGGGCAAAAAAACATCGGTTTATAAAATATTTGGGCCAGTCCGCAACGCTTACAATTTTTTATTCGAATTTCTCGGAATTGATAGTCTCTCATATTTTGCACTTGGCGTTCTTGTTATCTTTTGGGTATGGCAAAGGGCCATTAAAACAATGCCTAGACTGGTTGCCTGTCTAGGTTATCGTCGAGCCGTCGTTATCGGTTCACATTATGTTTAATGTATTTTACTCGAAACCCTGTAACCTTGAAACTATCACGCTTGTTGCTGGGATTCGGGAACAGCTAAGTGGTGGCATTAAAAATTAGCATTTTCAAATCTGTATTTTATGCAAAGCATAAAAGTTCAATTAAAATCCTGTCGAATTCTGTTAGCATCCTTATTGCATGTTTTGTGGCACCTGGCGTGCAAAAATTTTCACATTTTGTGCTGCTCCCTTGATAATAAGTTGTCTTTTGCTTTGCATTTTAAAATTGCTTTTCTTAGCCATTCTGTGCTTTGTTGGTCACTTGATAAACTCGCTTTGAGGCCGGCTCACTTCTTGATTGAGTTGTATTATAATTTTTAATGTATGTGCGAACGTTTCGTTAAAAATTCAAATTTCCCCTGCTGATTGACATTTGAGTTAGCGGTTTATGATAGCAATATTCTCGGCCTGACACAAATTTGAATCATAATTTCATAATTTGAACTTGACTTAGAGGCCAGTTGATTGAACAGAACGTTAAAGAAAATTGCTAAATTCGACGCTGTCCATTCAATAATCTCCAATGAATGAGCAATTTGATTGCTCTATAACACATTTTCATTCGAAATGATATTTTTCAACTTTTCATAACAAGTTTCCTTTCATTTCTGGCTTACTTTTTTTTGTTGTTTTTTTTTTTTGCTCTATTCTCGAGTGCAGAAAGGAAACCCACATTAAATTGCAAAATCAACTATGTTTGTTGTGTTGTGTGTGGTTTTTGTGGTTTTTGGGCAGAGGAGGTGGATGCCGGGGAGTTTTCTATGACAATAACTTTTTCCTTGCTCAACTGTTATACCCTGTTATTTGTATAGGTGATCACTATAGTATTCACATAAGTTTTCTTTGAAAATTAATTTAAGTTTAAATTTAAAAATGTCCACAAATTTTCACTGAAAATTAATTTAATTTTAAATTGAAGAGTGTCCAACAATGAACACTTTATTTTAAATATTTGTTTGGTATTTAGGGAATTTAACATCTGTTGATGTTAATTAACTGCTTAAGGGGTATCACGGCCAATAATAATAGTGTTTTCCGTTTTTATATTTTGCTTTTGCCAGATGTCTGACATCCAGCTCAACATTTTCCTTTCATAGGAGCTGAGAATATCGTAATAAAAATTTGAAAATTGTAATAACACTTGTCATGTTTTTTTTTACAACTGTTGGCATAGATCTTGTTAACTACAATTGATGGTTGATGCCTTGGAACATGTATGGTGATTGCAGATTCAGGTAGCAAGGTTATTTTTTAAACATTTTCTTACATCGATGATTTGTAAGGGCAAAAGACAGGGATATACATTTTCTCTTTGATAAAAATGTTTAAATACCCTTTGGCCTATTGAGACAGAAATAATTAATAAATTAATTATATTCTTATTTTCTTATAGATATTTCAATTATTGTAATTCATTTTTATTTTAAATTTTTTATTGATCATAATAATTATTTAGTATTAGTATTATTGCTTTTCAACAGACCCACGAAATCCATGCTAATTTTAAGAAAGACGAGAACAGAATGAAATCCATATAATAAAATTACTAAACAATTATAATAATAAACATCGGTTCTGAATCTATTTACTGCTAGTGAATGCCAGTGACTCACATTTATTGTGATTAGATTATTATTTTTGAATAATATATGGTATTCTCGTTTAGATTGGATGATTGACTTGGGATGATTTATTATACTAATATATGCTCTTATTATTACTGTTAACCAAGAGACACAATAATTGCGTGTTTATATTAAATACAATTTTAATTCAAACTGATTAAAAATGTCTGATTTATTATACTAATATTTATTATTAATATTGTTATCGTTTTCTCAAACTCACGCTATACATACAAATATTAAATAAAATTTTAATTCCGATTAAATTATTCCGATTTATAATAATAATACGCTCTTTTAGATTGTTTGCTTAAAATGGAATGATTTATTGTACACTAATATATACTATATCTATTTACAGGGACTAGTGAACTGAGCATTGCTAATAACCACGCAGGGACCATGTTGCACCTGAACGGAGCTCTTTCTGCGCCAGTCGCATTCGATGGGCACAAATTGACCCTTGCGCATAATTGTTTTGGGTCTCGTAATGCCATAGCAGGCGTACTGTGAGGCACAGCGCGAAATGGGCAGGCATTGCTCGTAGACCTCGACAATATCCGGATGCATGCTGTCCACGCTAAAGTCCTGGCCGCAACGCAACTCCTGATGGATGTGCAACCGGCTGCGGCACTTAAACTCCACTCGACACCGCCGGCACTTCAAGGGACGCGAACGGGAACGGTTGCTGTTATTCGCCGCTGCCACAGGGGCATGCAACTCGTGCAGTCGCTGAAACTGCCCCATAATATCGTTCAAGATGAGGAAATTCTTGTTGGGTCGCTGCTGCAAGGTCTCGCTAATGTGATATGGCACCACATACAGCTCCTTGGTGATGCGGCACTGTTGCAAGCCGTACAGATTAACGCGCATATTCGACGGAAAATAGCCGTTGCATTCACGCTGATGTTTAACGTAGGCTGCCCGCAAACTGGCCAATTCCGTCTCACTGCTGCTGCTGCTGCTGGTACTGTTGCCAGTTATCGACTCCTGACGCAGCTGCAGCGGCAGTGCTGAGGGGGATTCGGAAGATTCATTATCATCGCGTCTGCGTTTCAACTGGATACGCATGCGGGTAATGCTGCATTCCTCGAGGCTGACATCGTGACTGCTGCACAGATAGTTGGCAATGCGCTGGGTCATCAGCTCGTAGACAACGCTGACGCATTCCTCAATGTCGTAGTGATGCTGGACGCAAAGTGTACCGCTCTGGAAGATGAGCACCTGATTCTGGACGTGCACATAGCACGCCACATTGAACTCGACTCGCTGTGTGCCATTGTGGAACATCCAGCGCAGCAACTCGGGCACAGCTCGATCGCAAGTCTCCGCCATGAATTGCTGCAACTGATGCTGGGCACTCTCGTCACAGAAGAAGAATGTCTCAATTTGACGTGCCTCAATGATGTCCAGGACAGCCTGCTGCTGTTTGCTGAGTTGGGGGCGTTGGTCTTCGGCATGTCGCAGCCAGTGCTGGCTGGGCGGCTCATCGGCATCGATGCTGCTGTAGCAGCTGCTGCACTCATGCAACTGCTCCCCCACATGCCACTGATGGTGGAAGGATTGCTGGGTGCCCTCGGTGCTGAACACAAAGCTCGAAATTGGCTGCTCGCTGTACACGCTGTTCATTTTGGCTGCTGAGTTGTGTCTGGGTCAAAGTTCACTCGAAAACTGTTATGCTTTTAGTATTAGACACGTACTTTATATATCTGCGGTATGCAGGTAGTTGCATGCTTGCAAGCATACCTGCCACAGGTAAATCTGATGCGCAACATCTGCGCCTTGGGTTTTTCCGCCCAAAATGAAGTGGGTTTATGGCTGCTGATCCTTAAGGCTTAATTGGGCTATGGATGCCCAACAGCTGCATGCAGCCATAAAATAAATTTAGTTCAAATCTTTAATGTTAAGAATATGAGTAGCTCGAAGAAACTTAAGGTGTTGTAATCTAGCTCAATTGCAAGGTCGCTCCAAGCGACACTCTTAATATATAATATATATAATATATATAATATATTTATATCCTATTCCTCAAAGTATAAGTGCGTGTATTGATTAATTAATATTATTTGTAAATAAATAATTTTAATGTGTAATTAATCTTAATTTTTCCCGCAATGAATATAAGTCAAAATTCAATATTTGCAAATCAAAACTAAATGTTCTAAATTTGTAGATAATATATATAATGTTGTTATTAAATTTGCTATGCTTTGAACCCATAAATAATCTGATCGTATTTTGTAGTCTTATATGCGGAGAACTCCTTGACTGTAAAAACAATCTTGATGAATCTTGGTATATATTCGTCTTTTGGCTTCAGTCACTAAACCGTGGAAAGCAATCGAATCGGACTGATATTATATATAAGTGCTAAAGGAACAATCGGCCAAAAGATTTGTTTTCATACAACAAAAAATAATTTGTTACCAAGATATTCCAACCAAAGCCACAAGAATATATCTTGTTATATAACAGCCAGAAGTGAAATAGTCATGAAAAATCATCTTAAGAATAATATTTGTTTAAAACTAAATATTTTTTTAAAATATTTATTTAAGTGGAGAATTTGTTTAAAATATATTTGTTACAAGCAGAAGTGTAGAATATTTATAGCCAAATGTGAAATATGAAACTTATAAATCAAATTTATTTAAAACGTACTAAAATATATGAATATTTGAAAAATCTGTTAACATTTCAGGATATGCGTTACAAAATCAGGAATCTTGGGGATAAGCGAAGTCGTAATAAAATTAACAGGTATCAAATTTACATGGGGAAGCATTCCGAGATTATTTTAATTTGTGTGGAGAGTTCTTGGTTCCCCCGCTAAACAACCGCTCTCAGGGGGTATTTATTTAATTTGGCCGGTTCCCATCTCTAGCTACTCTACTCTAGCTTTAAAATTGTACAGATATATGTTGTTTGCACCCACAAAACACTCTATGAAGCGGCCATAGACGAGGAAAGATTCAAGCATGTTGAAGAAACTCGCATTCACACGGACAAACAAAATGAAGGACAGCATGACAGACATTGCATAATACCAATATGCTCTTATACCATCGCCGTCATAATAACATAATATCTGTTTCCAAGAACAATCTGCTCCACATGTTTCCAGGTATAAAGCGACCATAGCGCAGTGGCCAGATTACGACTGTAACGTTTTATCTTATTGTTGTTGTTGTTGCTGGTCATTGGGTCCGCGCAACAAAGTGGACAATGGCCACCATGTGGCAAGTGACGTGACAATGGCGTGCCGCAGTGGACATGCCTGGATGACGGTGTTGGCTAGCAACAAAAACACAGGAACGAAGGAAGGGGATGGTCGCACTGCAGTCACTTAATATTCCTTTCCTTTTGCGCTTTTTACGCTTCATTGTCTGTGCAGCATTATTCAAAAGCAGCTCCACATAAAATATGCTTGAAAATTAACAATGGCAATTAGAAGGTACTTAGAGCAGAAATAAACAATGTTCATTTGTACTCGTTTTTTTCAAACTACGCTTGCCTCCTTCTACGTTTGTCTTCTTGATTATTTTGCATGGTCTACTTACATTGCTCGTTTTTTGATATTCTATGAATGCTTTGTCATGGACTTTGACTTATTCGATAGTTTATTTTTAACACTCTCTCATATGAAATGTAATTGAATTACTCGAAAATATTCCAAATCTTGATTTTAGAAATATCAAGTATAAGTCAAGTTTTCTTTATATTTGTTTAAAAAATGTCATACTTATATTTTTTTTAATTAAAGCTAGGGATGATGGCTTAAAAGCGTTTGAAATTCTAATAAGGTACAATTAAATCAGAAAACTATCATATTAAAAGGGTATTGCAAGTTTCTGTAGTCGCCGCCAGATTTAGTTTGTGCTCTGCACATTTTTCACTTTTATTTATACAACTTGTATTTTTTGGCAAGGGGTCTTCTTGTAAACAATGCCACAGAGCGCACAACGCAAAGTTAATTAAGTCACTGTTTGTCCCTGTGGCAAGCTGAAGAAGTGGCAGAGGGGCGAGTGCGGGGCAAGGGACCGGAGGCGCCTGCCATCTGCCAAATGCAGCGATGCGAAAAGAAGTCGCCAACTATTTCAACATTTGACTGACAAACAAACCGAATAGAAAAAAAAATATATATATATATTTATATATATTTTTAAATAAATACTACAAGTTATTCGCTAAAAGGGGGCCAAGTGCCAGCAAAAAGGCAGAGCAAACTTTCAAAGGAGCTGAAGCCTTTTAGCTGCCACAAAAGTGGCAACAATTGCTTGCCATCCCCCTTCCCCTCGCCAACTAACTTGTGAGGCCCCCGTGGCATCAAATTACTCAATGCAGGGCGCCGCATCAAATCAGTGCTAAGTGTGAAAAAGTTATTTGCTATTTACTCGCAACCGAATGCCAACAAGCAAACAACCAAGCAAGCAATCAAATTGAATATGAATCACAGCAGCACAAACAGATAGAATGTGACACTCAGACGGTGCGAGGCATACGGCTTGTGGCAAGCATTGCTGCTCGTTCATCGGGGAATTTATAATCCAGGTCGAAACGTCTCCATGACTGCCATTTCCACTGTTGTTGCAAATGCCAAGCTGCTCAGTTCTGGGCCATCTAATCGACAGGTTAGTACCCAAAACCTCCCAGGCAGGTGTGTGAGTGCTGAAAGCTGCATCCAAAGACAAACGGAATCCTTGCATGGTTTCTGTTTGTCTAAACTTAACTTACATCGTCTGCTGGCGAGTGTTGACAGCTTGTGTGTCTTCACTCATAGTTGCCTTTGTTTGCTTGCTCCCCTCCAGGAACGGACAGGCGATTACTCTCACTTGGGACAGCTCGTTGACCTCTGCCCTCGTGTGACTTTGCTTTCCTTTGCGAATATCTGTCACAAAAATTTAAGGTAAGCGCCGATCCAATTTTTCTGTACTCCCTCGCGTATGTTATGTGTGATTATGGAATACCTTATATTTTTGGTTTTAGATGATCTCAAAGAGCATTCAATAGATTTATAAATAATTATATTTAATTCGAGTAGGTTGATAATGTACTTTCTCTTCACTCATTTTGCAAGAAAACGTAACTGTTTTCAGTTTGAAAATAAAAATGGTTGATTAATGTTTTTTTTTTTTGCAAATCAAAGTAAACGTTATTAAGATAATTTTAATTTCGTATACCACAAAATTACGTGAAATGGGTATAATGGATTTGTGCAGAAGTATGTAACAGGAGGAAGCATCTCTGAGCCCATAAAATGTATATATTCTTGATCAGTGTGACTATAAAATTAAATTTCTGGTTAGCAGTGTATATTGTTAATATTTCTAAAAACATTTTATTTATTAAATGAACTATCAATTATATATGAATTATTTCTACATTTTAATAAATTTATATTTACTACTTTTTAGATTTATTTTTCTTTTCTGGGTTTTCCGCAATCCATGGGACCATTGTAATTTTATTAGCTTCATTTTGAATTATTAATTTAAATTTAAAAAACCACAAGAATATAATTGTTTTTAACTATAATTAAATTCATTTATTTTTCTGTTTTGAATATTCATTTAGTCGATATTAAATAATAATTAAATAATTACACATTTTTTAGATCTTGTCTACATTTTAAGTATTTATTATGCAAGACTTTTCCGCGTTCCGCTACAATTATACACAAATGCAAATTGCTGGTCAAGTCACACTTAAATTAAGATTAATCATGAAATTTAATTAGTCAACTATTTTTAACAGTTAATTTTACACCGTTTTCTAATAATAATACTAGCAATCTATTATTTGTTTAATTTTTATTATATTCACTTAAAGATTGAAACTTTAATAAATATTTTAATTTTGCAAAAATTCTTTAATAATGCCTCTGTTTTATTTAAAGTGCTGTTGCAATTAGCAACTTTAAAGGAAGACCAAATCAAAGATCTTTGTTTTGGTGCTAAGCGTCACTTAAATATTCTGTTGCCAGATGATTAACGACTACTTGTTCTTTGCATCAAGTTAAGATGTAATTTGGCTTAACGACATCAGTTTCATACAATTTTGTGTGCTGTTTTATGCGCAGCTTTAATTTAATGCCATGGAAACTTTTCCACTCTTCTACTTTGCAGAGCACAAGCCTACGTGGCGAATGGATGGAAAACTTGTAACTGGCTGGCTGCTGTTGCAGTTTCTATATATGCAAGCAACGACAACGACAACGACAACTATAGCTAACAAGAGCAACCTCACCACCCTTTGTGATGAAGGCGTCTGGCTGTTGAAATTGTCGTAAAAAGTAAACTTTGGCCGTCTCAATGGCAAAAGTCGTCAACGACATCGTCCTCGTCCTCGTCATCGTCATCGTCATCGTCGTTTCCATGCGCAATTCAAGCAATCTACAGACGGGGCACAGACTGAGGTAAGTGCCGTGAATGTTGGAGAGAGGTGCAGTATCAGAGAAAGAGTGAGATTGAGATGGAAAGAGTGGGGCTGTGGAAAGGGTTAGCGAAGTGTTGACACCTTGCCTGTGCCACAATTTGTTAGCAGTGAATGAGGTTTTCTGTTTTTTCCGTTTTCCTATTGTAAATTCTATGTGTGGTTTGAGTGCATCTAATGCTGGCACCCCTACTCTCGCCTTGCTCCTACACTCGCCTTGCATATTGCAGGCAAATTATGCAAATTTGGCTTTCACTTTCAAGCTGACTGAGAGCAAGGTCAACATATTTTCAGCATTTTTCAGAAAGCGAAATCTGAGCAGCTTGGATCAACTGAATGTAAAATAAGTCTCAAGTCTTTTGCTTAGTTGCCTGGTCTCTGATGTGCGTTATAGTAATGCATATACCCAACTTGTGATGGGGCTTGCTGGGTATATCAAAGTGCAGACAAGCTGACGTAGCAATTAAAATAATTTAGAAAACAGTCTCGTGAGTCACTTATTTGAGTCGTTTGACAGCTGTTGCATGATTACGATGATGCCATTAGGTTCAAAAACCTAGTAAATTCACAATTACCCCTTTTGAATGTCGGCCCGCACGGTACATTAAATGTGATTTAAGATAATTAAGACTTACATGGCTTGCACTAATTTTATGGAGTGTTTTTTTTTTGTTGTATATTCGAAGAGCATAAAAACCTTCCAACGACGTTGGAGACCGCGGACGATTCCAATGCACTTCGGAAGTACTCTCGAGATTATGTGGTATAAGATTATATAAGATTATAATATGATCCACTTATGTTCATCTTTTTATATGCGTTTTTCATTTTAACATTTGCTTAAATTTACTCTGCAATACTTTTACGCATTGACAGTGAATATTCCCCAAACCATTGCTGATAATTGTAAAGTATCAATGATCGATCTTAGTTTTATTGATTAGTTTTTAGAAAAACAAATTTTAACCTAGGAAGAAATGAGTTCAAAACGTTTGTGAAACAAATCCTAAATATATGATGATGTAATTAATTGCATGATGTGCAAAAATTGGAATTTCATGTTTTGAGCATGCAAGAACACAACACATTATTTATTCAACAATTGAGGGTCAAATATGGCAAAGGAATTGAGAGTCTGCTGTGAAATGTTTATGCACAAACTTATTTAAATTATTGGCTTGTTAAAATGCATTTCATATGAGTTTGACTGGCCAACCTGTTGCATACCTCTTAACCTTATTAAGCTTTGTTCAGATTTGTGTATATGTATGAACATATATAAACTGTTTTTGTATCTAAATTGCCGCAAGTACATTTTATTTGACATTCTTTGGATACGGGCAGGGTGTCAAACCGGAAGCGGAATCACATGTTTACCCATTGAAATTCAGTACCGGCATCGAAGCATGTATTTTGTTTGAGAACCAGTTACCGGAGCTAATATTAGTAGTCCCGTATCGTAAACCAATTTTTAATGGATTTTAGGGATAATAAATATGAATTGTCAATTAGATAAATAAGTTGGCAAACAAGTAAATAAATGAATAGTAGATAGTAACATTTACTTATGAACTAAAGCCGGGTCTTGTTGAGCTTAGACTATGTAATTTAGTCTGAACACAATTGTGTCGAATTAACATCAGTTAAAATCCCAATTGGAACTCACTCATAACGTTATCACAGAGTGACTCCTGCGCTTCGATATAATCTGAATGCTTTTATTTGCAAAAAAAAATCGACAAAAATGTTATCTTGCCTACATTTTTGTCTATTTTTTTAATCTTGTTTTTGTAACTTGTAACTTCGCCAGCGCCACCTTGTGATAAGTGGGTTGCCTTAAAAGGAGGCCTGCGAATTTGTTCCGATAGTAGGGACTTTGCAAAGCGATATATGTCCGATAGTGTGGCAGTAATCGATAATTTAATATCAATTGCTGCCCAAATGCAAAAGTGTACGAAACCACGTTTAGAAAAATCATAATAAAGTTGTGAGCTTTTCAATTATCCAAAAGTCAATCGAAAACCAATTAAACGAACAATTAGAATATGGTTGCTGACAATTATGACATGATCACAGACGGTGAGTTAGTAATAAACAATTAATTAAATATTCTCAGGCACAATCATAACCTATTCACAGACAGTGGATGGAAACCAAAGTTTGCAAGTGAAGAAAAGGTTGCGAGGAGCCAAGCGAACTTTGGAACGATCCTGGCAATCGGAGGAGCTGATTTTGCGCTGATCGCATCCGACTATTGCATGACTAGTGAATTAGACAATCTCTTCCCGATGACACGGCAATCGGTAATGGGATGCATTGGAAGCTGGGTAGATGTCGCATCGATGAATGCGTTGATCAAGAGGCGTGGTCAGATGCGCGAGCTGGATAACAGATCGAAACTGCCGACTGAGATCCTTGCATCGATAATCTCCGGCACAATCAATAGCCGCCGACTCTTCCCATGGCGTACATCCACAATTCTGGCCGGGCTGGACGTAATGGGCAAGGGCGCCGTTTATCAATACAACGACGTTGGCCAACGCGGCCGATTTCTGTATAGTGTTCTTGGAAGTGCTCGAAATATTATGTGGCCACAGCTTAACCATGTCATTGGTAAGCCCCAGCACTATCCCCTACTCACCAAGGAGCGTGCTTTCGACCTTGTCCGCGACTGTTTCATGGATGCCTCTCGTGTGCATACAGTCATCGGTGATACAGCGCTGATCAAAATCATTACCAAGGATCTCATAGAGGAGCAGAGCCTTAAATTGCGCTAGAATCAAAGAACTCAGCTAGAGTACATAATTATAAAAATACAGATATCTTTAAAAGAAAACAATATTTGGTTTCTTGTTATTTTGTGTGAACTCAAAATACCATTTGCTTGTGTTCAACTTTTCTGAGATGCTAATTTTAACATTCCCTTGAACTACTTGGAAATTCTTCACAAACTACTGCTTATAATTATAATATATATTTATTTACAAGCTTGAACAAAACCAATTTTATCACAGAAAATATGCTTGTGAAAGGTTTACAAAACAATGCCAAAATTAGTGTCAGTGTAATTAATTGCATTATTTACAATTCTTGAAAATGAATGTTTTGAGCATGCAAGCACACAACACATTATTAATTCAGCAATTGAGGGTCAAATATGGCAATGGAATTGAGAGTCTGCTGTGTGAAGTGTGTGCAAGTTAATTGAATTTATTGGCTAATTGAAATGCATTTCATATGAGTGCGACTGGCCGATCTGTTGCTTGTTTCTTGTTGACCATATTAAGTTTTCCTCACTTTCTACATTGTGCATGCATAAATTCTGTATTAATATCTCATTTGCAACAAATCTGTTTCATTTTTCATGTGATGGTTGTTGCAGGTTAATTGAGTTGTTGCTGTTGTGGTTCTTGTGATTTTGCTTACCCTAGAATACATGAAATAGGGTTATATTGAGATTTGGTTTGCCATTGTTTTGTTGCCATTTAAGTTAATCGCTCATTTAATTTATAAGGACTTCCCTGCAAAATATTATTTTTTTATTGCTGTATGGAAGAGACAAATTTATAGTTTCGAGGAAACTCTTTACGTATGAGCTGGAGTTAAAACCTAAAAATATTTCATAATAATATATTTATTACAGTTATTATTTAAGATCTCTTCTGGAAATCTCTGATCGAGCTTAACTAGAGTGAATTTATCTTAGTTCACCCAGTGGCTCAGTGATTTTTCTACTTCTTATATTTTTTTCTACTTCACTTGTTATTAATTTTTATGATTCCTAAGAAGAGCGTTTCTTTCCTGCTTATTGATGGAAAGATATTTTTTTGCAAGTAATTTGGTTGCAAACGTCAAATATTCTTGTCAATATAATAGTTTGTTTATTACGTTTAACTGTTTTGTTAAGAGAATTTCAACCGTTTTGTTGCTGTTTGTATCTCATTTAAATATCATATATTTAATATGTTTCAGGCTCTTTAAGCATCCACACAATTTTAGCACATTTCTTGGCTTTGCTCAGCTTTTGCGTAAAGCAGTTCGTCTGCACGCTTATCTCCTGCATAAAATGAAAAAATTCGTTGATTACTTTATCCTAAGCTGCTTTTCATTTGGTGCATCTCTTTGCCTTTTTCTTCTTAACGACCCCCCTCGTTAAAGCTTCTTAGCCAAATGCAGCTCTTCTATCTGCAGAAGATAATCGTTTGGCCTTGCTAGTCTTTCAAAGTGCTTAACTTTCATTAACGCAACGTTGGCGTATTTTTAATTTTTCGAAATCCTCTTTTGTTCTCATTAATTTTGAAATTCGATCAATCGTAAAATGAATTTACTGCCGGCACGTTTATCAATTGAGGAGCAGCAGATGGAACATTAAATCGAATTACAATTTGTTTGCATTTTATTTGAATGAAATCGGCTCACCTTCAGCTTATGCGGCCCGACTGTATCGTAAATCCAGCGAAACACGATTTAGCGGCATTGCTTTCTGATTTAACAACCAAAAGCCTTTAAAGTAATGCTCAATTTTAATTACAAGGACTTTCAATCAGAAAGGAAACTGATAATTTAAATTATGCTTTGTATTTAGTTTCTTTTCAACATGCGCTTGCTTCCACTGTTTCATTATTTATTTTTTAAATTGTTTGACGTTAAATTATTTATTAATTTTGTAACTTTATTTCAAGCTTTTAACTTGGCAAAGTCATTTGTCGTCTAGAATCCCCTGTCATCATGGTGCGATGATCTTCGTCATTTTTTGTTTTTATTTCCCATTTATCATGCGTCGTATTTATTCCATAGTTTCTAGGAAGACAGATGCGAATTTAAAGACATCAAATTGCACAGCTGAAGAAGTAGATTGTGTTCTCCTTTCCCTTCCCTACAATTCTGGACTGAAACGATTTCCCGGAACACATTTTGGCTACAAATTGCAACATTGACTTGGCGGAAGTACGAACGCCATTTGAGTTGGCTCCGACTGGGATACTTGGGAGAATTCATATGGTCGCCTGGTTGCCCTGCTGCCTAGTGGCTATGGAACGTGACCTGATTTAATTGAGCAAAGGAGTCGCTTGAGATTTTGGCTAATTCATGGGATGTGTCTGAGAATGTGATTAAATGGAGCAAAATAAATTAATTTGTTTTCCCAGTTAAATTGGCATTCCGAATCCAATAAAAGTATAGGGAATTTGTAATTAATATAATGCAGCAGCTTAATGATTACCACCCTGTTCTGTTTTGGCTAACTCAAAATGTAACCAGAGCAGTTTCCAGCGATTATTATTAAATAATTGTTTCGTACATATGAAAATGTGTGGCATGAAAATGCAGGTCGTTTATTTTCATACGTTTTCCGAGGTATTTCATAATTTATGCACAAGGAAATGAAAGCTGTTGATGTTTGGCCCCTCGGAGTCTCCACTGTCGGACGCTTGCCACAGCTCTGGCTGCCAGCCAACTCATGTTTGTGCCCAGCCAAAGAGTTGAGAGCTGGAAAAACACTGACCGAGGCTCGCAGTGGTTCTCTGATATTCTTTTTTGTGTTGCACTTTCGTGTAATTTAACATTTAGCCTTTAACATTTAACATTTTTGCGTCCAATTAACATTTTAAGGCAAAAAGCTTTTGGTATGCGGCCAAGAATGTATAAAAGTGTTGATTATACATTATTTTTATGTTTGTTTTTACGGCCTTTGGAGTGGTTTGTAGTTCTGCTGAAATGCAAAAAATAAGAACAGAGCATTACTACTATGTTTCAAAAGACGAACGGCTAATGCTCTTGCAGACGCATTAACTAAATTTATGTATTTGCAGAAGCGAAATAGTATACTTATATAAAAATAGCCCTGAACTTTTAAAAACTACCCCGAAAACTAGATTGCAATGCTTATTTTGGAAATATTTTCTAAAAATAACTCCGGCGTAAAACACATAATTCCATTTTAGAAATTTACTTTATGCATAATAAGATGAGTTCTCCTCTCAAAATTAAGTCGACTTAATTAAGTGTAGCATTAAGATTTTTAATTTAAAAATCAGTTTCTCCATTAATAGCGATGTTTTTAAAATTCGAAATGAATGATTTTTTTTATGTTCCAAATAATAATATTATTGCTTGTACTTGAATGGGAAAATGATTCGCTTTGTCTCTTGCAATGCGTTACACAGTGCATGACAAGTTTATAATACCCTCTCCAAGATATAGTAATAACCTTTTAAACAGAGCCAGCTTCATGCCAATGAACTTTTACTGCCGCCTCTGTGTTGGTATTCCAAATCGGATCTGTACATTTTTGAAACCTCATCAAAGTGCAGTTTACGAAGCCCGCACGTAAACAATGAAAAGTTGGCTAAGTGCATTCGCCGCTCAAATTGGATTTCAGTCAGTCAGTGTTAATAAATATAAGTGTATATGTATATATATATATATATATATATATACATATATTTTAATCAGAATTTCTTGCATAATTTGAAAGTGCTGTCGTATCGTGGGTGCTGCCAACTTGCTGCTCATTAAAATTGAAATTATGTTTTGTTTTTATGAACTTTGTGCTCTGGCTGTTGCACTTGCTGCGTGTTAATTTGTGCGTGAACTTTCCTAACGAACCGGAAGTCCTGACAGGCACTCCCCTCCCCTTAAGATTTGCGACAGGCAGCTGAAGCCAGACGACTGCGGCTATCGCACAGAGCGTGGGGCACATAATTGAAATGGCATTTAAATGTTTTTGTCTTTGGCTGCATGTGAAGCGAATGTCAAACCGAACGATAGGGTGCATTAAAAAGGGCAGGCAAAATGAGTAGCTTAATGTGTTTAACATCAGATTATGGAATTACAGAAAAAATGTATAATCTGTGGACACTATTTGGTATTAAAGTATTAAAGTTCGTAATTGTGATATTTTCATTTTCATATATGATAAGAATCGAGGGCGTCCAACTGCACGAAATTGTGTTGCGAGTCCTGGCGAGACTGGTACGCAATTAATGAAAATTCCTGTATTCTTGAAAAGTTTTTACCTATACTCGATTACGTATTTATACTTTGATTTTTATGGTAGGTTTTTTAAAATTAAATAGGACATTTCAGTCTATCGTAACCTTTTATAAGCCATCAGAATATATGTTCTCGTAATAATATAAGTACACCTGAGTAATGGTCTTTTCGGGGAAAAGAATATCACTTCCGGTGTTTGGGTTATGAGCAATTTTGAATTTAGGTTCTGATTCCGATTCAGAGTTTCCATCAGCAAACATTCGATTCTGTTTTGACACCCTGAAAGAATCGACAAATCAAAAATGCTTTAGCTTGTATCATTTTGCATTCAACACGCCAATCCATTACTCATAGGTCAATTTGAGATTAAGAAACTATGTTCAATAATACCACCCCGCAATTACAAAATGCTGGTAAGAGCTGCAAATTTAATGCAATTAACATCGGTGTTGCATAGCCCACCTCAAAACAAATTACTCGGTAGTCAAAATTGTGTCAGATTTCAATCGTAAGACACATTGCAACTACAATTTTGGCATTGAGCTCTTCCCCAAAAAAGCCGCAGACTTTGTGGCGTGGTTGGCGGCTTGCGTCTGACCAAGTTTTCGTACAGTTTATAATGTTGCTGCTGTATGGCAGGCAGGCAGCTGCATTAGAAAGTTGCAAGTTGCACAACCACATATATCAATTACACAAGTTTTGTTAGTCATCGTTGGTGTAATTGCATAGAAAATTGCAGCCACGGGAACGAAACAGAGTCCGGATACAGGACCACAGCACAGAGAGCAGCAGCAGCTGCTGCTGGCAACTTAAATTGGCATTTAGTTTGTCGTTACTGAAACTATGGACACGGTCTCATAACTTGCAGTGCGAACAAAACATTTCCGGCAATTGATGGCCAAGAATTTTTGGGCCAGAACAAGTTTGCTGCTCAAATTCAAATTCTATTCACATTTGCCAGTTGTTCTGCTATCGTTCTTTTAATCCCTGCTCTGGTAACCATTTTTCGCTTAAATAAAATCATGAAATTTTCTTATTGTTATTCTTTGCCCTTTCACATTGCTTTCACTTTGACTTGGCTACGCAAATATTATTACGCTTTTGGCATGGAAATCCAGAGAAGAGGCAACAAGCGCACAAACTCCATAAAAATGAGTTGACTACTGTAAAGGGGATTGGCATATGGGTAGGGGAGGAAAGAGGTAGGGGAGGGTATAGCGAAAGTTTTCGTTGTATCTCACTCGAGGATGTTTTTCAATTTTTTTTTTATATGTGCTCACCTTTGTTGTCTGGGTCGCGGCTCTGAGAGTTGCCACTCAATTTGTGTGTGTTGAGTGGGTGGGCGTTGTTGGGTGCTGCAAATTGGGAGAGCGCCGGAAACCACTCAGTTACCAGCATATCATGCTTTACAAGATTAGCGGATATGCAGCTGGGCGACCGAATGGCAGTCTCATTGCAGTTCAAAATTGTTTTACGGCAAGCATGGAAAGCATTTGCTGAGTATGTGGTTCAGAACTGCTAATTGGCAGAAATGTTGAAAAATAGTTAAAGTCTCTTAATGGGGCTATTGAAATGAAATAAGCTGCAGCTAAATAACTAACAATTTGAGAATTTGGTTTGGGTATATTAACCCTTGTAGAACCGAATTAGTAATTCAAAAATTTATATAGAGCTATACAATTTTAAATACTTTAGATAATGAATACAAAGAGTGAAGTACAAAGAACAAAGTTCGAAATAAAATGTATATATGTTTAAAATAAATTTAATTATTCTCGAAGATTAAGTGTTTCTTGATTTGGCTGTACTAAAAATTAAATCATTCAATTTACGACTGGCATAGCTTTTGAGACGTATTAGATGACTTTAATAATAACTTAACATATTTTTCATAGAAGTTATATAATAATGTTAATGGCTTACATGAATCACAAAATTAGAAAAACTAACCATTTTTTAATATATCTTTCCGGGTATAAAGTATACAAATTTAAGAACACGGCATCAAAATATATAAATTAAAATTATAAAAAGGTGTCACCAAGCAATAAACGACTTTATTCATTTTGTATTAAAGCAATTGGTACCGCCAATTCATGCGTATGGCTTCTTTTATAAAAAGAAAATATTCATCTCTATTGATTTATATCGATACTTCAGGCAAATGCTTTTAAGGCCGCGCTTCTCAAGTCACCTTATCGTAAGTAAGCTTCCATGTTTATTTATATTTTAGCTTAAACTGTGCATGGGCATTAAATCAAGTTTAGGAACTTGGCTCCCAGCTTTTTACCAATGCTGCCATTGATTTATGCGCACCGGAGTGAAAACATAAAGTCTACAGCACGATTTTCCCTCACGAAGGAAGCCGGATCCGGGTGAAAACGAATGTTACTTTAAATATGGGAAAATGTTTGGAAAAGTACTTCTCGCTGGATCTACTAAGTCATCCGTTGAGCTGCTGTATATTGAGGGCTTGCTTACTTCAACTGGTGCAAGAGGGGCAAGCAGGGGGAGGGGGTGTCTTGATAGCTCAACAACTGTGCAACAACTTTTTGAAGTGCAAATTTGTGAGAATTCATTCCTGTTGCTTGGTTTCTTTCTGTTCCTGTTAGTCAGTCATTTATTCTTTTTGCACCTTAGTTTCCTTATTACTTTTGACTCTTGAATGCTCTTCCACTTTGATTTTTACCCGGAGAGAATTAAGGGATACTGAGCCCCGGTTATTTTGGGAAAAGATTTATGCATTTATTCTGCATTTTGAATGCGCATTTGTGCGTTGCCGAAAGTTGAAAGCTGCTGGTAACAAATTGGCCATAATTGTTTGCCTGTCCACACTTGAAATGTTTTTCAATCAGTAACAGAAGTACATATCTGCATTGCGGCTGTGTCTCATTTTAATTAGTTGATTACACTTGCCAATCGAGCTTTTTGCTCTGGCTGTGCCAGCACTCATGGGGTATATTGCGATTATATATTCGCTATTTTATGTTTTAATTTTTTTATGTAAGTTTTCTAGGATTTTCTGTTTTATTTCTTTTAGATTCTTTGTTTCAATTTAAAAATTGATTCTGACTTTTTATATTATTAGGAATACATACTCACTTTCGTCAAATTAAATTTCAATAAAATAATATTTTACACAATTTGAAAGCTGGAGTCAACTTGCCGATTTTTTGCTATTTATTATTTTAGTTTCAGTTCTGACTTCGGGTATCTTAGAGTTGAATTCTCCGGTTAGCTTTCAGTAGTCAGTTGTGGTAAATTTCAGTAGAATTAAATTACACCTGTGATTGACAGTGTGGGTCGCCTTGCGTTTTGCTTTGCGGTTGGGCGAGTCTGCTTTGCGGTTGAGCAGCTGATAAATTGATTTTGCCATATGCTGCTCAATGCTGCAGGTAAAATAAAGTTTTGCTATGTATCTGGCAGACTTCAAGTTGTCCCACTGAATAGCATGTATTCAGCCACATCAACTGTATTTAGCCAGTCAATGAGCCGGCACCCCATTAGGCCAAACAAGTGTGGCACAATCTGAAACGTGTGTTGTTAAACATCTCCGAACATCAGATTGGTGTGTGCTGCAATGCGAACTTGCGAGTAATCTGTAAATGCCGTGAAATATAAAACGTGACCAGTGCACATTCCGAAAGGGGGTTCAAGGGAACGCTTCTTGGCTGGTTGCAGCATACACCACCCAATGCAATTCGCGCTGTCTGCTGCAGCTCGCATCTGCCGCTTAACTGGCCACTGTTCCCGTCCACTGTGCCTCTCTTGCCACCTCCTATTGGGAGTGTGTCTGGCACTCGGCATTTCATTATGGCTCTGATTGGATTACGCTGTTAATGCATCTCGTTGTCCGCTACGGTACGTGAAATCTTTTATCATTTGCGCCGCAGTGGCGCCGTCGTCTTCAAATGTGTCTCCACCAGGCTTCACTTAGGCGCTCTTTAAATTTCATTTAACCTAGTCTTCTTTTCCTTTACCACCAAACTTAACAGTTGGAACTAAAAATAGTTATCAGCACCTTTAATATTGTGAATAATTTATATTCCTACAGCTCGTTATTCAAGTATTTTATTCGGTTTAAATAAATAAATACTCTGATTGTTTCCCAATATTATGTTAGTAAATTTAAATAAAGAAGTCCACGCTTTCCTGAAACTTCCTGAAAATTTCAAAATGTTGATTTGTGCCTGTTAAAGTTGATTGTGTGAGAGCACAATTCCAAAAACTCAATCTGAATGGTACTTTCGTAGCGGATTCCTAATTCTTTCTGTGTACATTGATAGTCGGATATATATTTAAAAGCAAGTAAGAACACATATCTAAGGCACGCCAAAGGTTTCAAACACTTCATCGTAATTCCATTATAAATTGAATGAATATATCTAATGCGCAATTTATAGGATCAGAGATGCTTCCTTCTGCCCCGTTTTCTTTTTCACAACTTCATCGCACGCTAATAACCCATTGGCAATGGTAATTTGGTAATTTTCAATGGAATTACAAAATATTGTGTTGCATTTTCAAATTTTAAATAGACATATAAATTGTATGTGGTTGCTATCACGATTTATTGGAATAATTAAATTTGGCTTAAATGTTACCCATAAATTTCGTTGTGGGAAACGTAATTGCATTTCACCGATGCACAACTCAATTATATTTATCTCTCAATCGATGTAGTCGACTAATTTGTTTAAATTCAGTTTTATTTTCAATTAAATCATTATAGTTTTATTTACTGATCCACTTAAAAGCACATTTATACATTTTAGTTTGCCTTAATTCTAGTAGATTTAAATGCTACACATTTAGAAAAGAAGTAAAGTTCCCTCCTTAAACCCTTTTGCGGCTGCCCTGCCAATTAAAAACCTTTGCATTCGGTTTGAGCACTTAAAACCCTTATACATATATATTTTGCAGTAAAATCGTGGTATTAAATACATTTAAAAGTATTTCACTTAGTATTTGAATATAGCATTAAAAATTAAGCAAAAACACAAAAGGGGGCAGTATTTGGGTTAATGACTGTTTTGGGGGTCATTCGGATAATACTGTTGTTGAGAAAGTGACTATTTGTAATACACACAACTTAAGTAGAAACAATTGCTTCATATTCAAAACACATACCCCTTAATTGTACTTACACGACAAACGACTTACTTTTAAAATGTAATTTTATTTAATTAAAATTGTATATACTTTCTAAAGATCAGTTTGTTCCATCTGGTTCGATCCGCGGCGCATCGTTGTGCAAATTGCTTCCTGCTGCTCACCCAGACAGATGATGAAGTTCTCTCCCTGCCCTGTCAACTTGCCATTGGAGCTACAGGACTTTTGGGCACTTGTCGAGCCCGTTTTCTCCGCTGTCGTTGTCGATGAAGTGGTCGTCGATGAGTTGTTGTTGCCCGCTTGGATGGCCAGGAGTGTCGGCGGTTGCTGTTGTTGTTGTTGTTGATTGGGCGCCAGGAGACGTCTGGAGCCGCCACGGCGGCGACTACCCTGCTTTGTAAAGATACTGGGCTCCAGATGGAGCTGTGCGTTAATGTCCTGTTTGGTCATACAAGTAAATGCTTTGAAGAAGCTCTTGCGAAAATTCTCACTGAGAAAGGCATAGAGTATGGGATTCACCGCAGAATTGGAATAGACCAAAGCGCCTAGCAGCAAAAATATGAGTATCTCCAGGCGCGATAAATCACGCTGCGCCGGATTCGAGTGGATCAGTGCCAGCTGGGACATCCAGTGGGGCAGCCAACAGCTTATATAGACCGTTATGACGGTGAGCACCAGGCGCGTCACCTTGCGATGGGCGCGACGCTTCTCCTTGGACTTGGCCGCATGCTTTGGTCCCACCGAGCGCAGCTTCCTGATGACCAAATAGTAAAAGCTGAGTATGAAGCACAACGGTGTCGCGAAGCCCAGAAAGAAGGTGTACAATATGAATGTGGTGCCCGAGTGCTTCTTGTACGCGTCTGGCCACATAATATTGCACGAATAGTTGACGCCATCCTCCTGCTCCACGGTGCTGGCATATAGCATCACGGGCAGCATCAGCACAGCCGAGGTGCTCCATGCCAGCGCCGATACCAACTTGGCAATGTGAAGAGTGCGATAGCGCGGTGATGATATCGGATGGCAGACGGCTATATAGCGATCTGCGGACATTATCAGCAGAAAGATGGAGGAGGTGAAGGACGTTATCGATGTGCTCACCATATACGCCTTGCACATCAGCTCCCCAAAGCGCCAGCTGCAAATGCGCATCGTGTAGAGTAGAAATGGAATGCCAATCAGAAAACACTCGTCTGCTATGGCCAGATTGAGTATATAGATGTTGGTCACCGTCTGCATCTTGGAGAAGCGCAGCACTACATAGATGACCAGCGTGTTGCCGAACAGACCCACAATGCAAACCAGCCCATACAGCACCACCGTCAACACATCCGCAAATGAATTGCGAGTGGCGATACAATGCTCATAGGTTGGAAGATCTGTGCTGTGAACGGAACTGATGCTGCCAGTGGCCTGTGGCAAGTACTCTCCAGATTGGGTACTATAGATGGTGTCATTGGGATAGTAGTTTGCTGCTGTGCTGCTGCTACTGCTGCTGCTGCCGCTGCTGCTGTTGCTGCTTCCGGTCAATAGCCACTCTGGCTGTGATTCCGTTGGGCTGCCACTGGCCAAATGAAGACCCACAATCAGTAGCCACATGTTGTCCAAGCTAGTTGAACAATTCTACATACATAAATGTTTATATGTATATATATATATATATGGTTTGTATAGTTTGTTTGTGGTTTTAAGCCTTACTGTTGCTTTGTCATCAGCATTGGGTTTGTTATTTAGCCTGGAAAATAAATGTAAATTGCTAGTTAAACATTTTACGTCGAGTCAACAAATTAAATTAGTTTCTGTTTATTTGGTAATGTCAATGATTGGCTTTCTATTATAAACATTTATTTAGACGACTTCTATGGAGTTTCATTTAGTTTTAAACTATTGCAAATTGCAAATTGCCTCTATTGTGGATTGTGTGTGCTTCAAACAAATTTGTTTGCCGTATTTTATTCTTTTTTAACTTTGGCAATTACAACAATTATATTTATATACGGTCAGGTCGATTTATGAAAATATCTGAGACCTCTAGTTTATTTAATTGTTATTATACTCAAATGACTTTTTCGACATTGAATTATGATAATTGGAGTATTTAATTATAAATATTTTATGTTTATTTATTGGAAACATTAGGGAAATGAATACATTAATTTTTGCGTGTGTATTTTTTATAAAAAAATTAATTAAAATTAAATAATTATGAAAAATATAGTTAACCATAAGCAACTGCTTCTTTCACTAATTGGATTATTAATTTAAGCAAAGCTTTTAATTGTTCCTATATAAGTTACTTGTAAGATAAGTAAAAGGAGGCTAACTTAATTTAAAAAACAAATTTCATAAAAACTGATAATAAATATAATCCAATACTGTGCTTTAAATTCTAAATTCTCCTTGTACTTCAATTTCTCAATCCTGTGTCAAAATTGCTTGCTTCGAAAGTGGTTACAAAATTATTGATTTCAGTTGACTAATGTGGTTTTGAGTTCTTTTTCTTTTACTTTTCCAACTTATTTCACAATTACACTTTGTAAACATACAAATTAAACTTTCGATTCTGCTTTGATTTCTTGTCTTCAATTTTAGTGAAATTTTAAGCAAACATTTATAAATCAATCAATAAATGCACAATTAATTCACACAACTTTTGGCAAACAGTAAACTTACTCTCCACAATCGAAGCACAAAAACTTGATTGACGGCCAATAAGAAATGTGTTTATGCAAATGACATAAACATTTCAATTAAAATGAAAGTACGCATAATTTGACAAGTGAAAGCTTTGTAGCTGTTTTACATGTTCTACAAATAAACAAAGTGGCAAAAACAAATTTGCATAAGAATAAAGCACAAGTTATGCAAATATTAGGTAAAATATTCTTCTACCTTCTGTATGCAAAACTCTGTTCCATATTTTGTCTAACGCCGGCTGTGTTGAGAGAAACAATATTTGTGAACGTGTCAATCTTAAATTTGCTTTCATTTATGAAATACATGTAAGCATGTAAGGATATTAATATGTAGGTATATAAGCCGCTTAGTTATGCCACAGCTCGAGTGGCCTTCAATTTGATCGACACTTTGTTTAAATAAACATGTTTTACTCGCAAATTAATTTGCGGCATATTTTACATTGCGTGAATTTTGAAGTTAGCCCGGAGCAAAAGCTATCGAAATCATGTGAACACAAGTGTGGTGTTCAGTTGAAATAAATTAAAATAGCTTACAGTGCTGGCAGCTTAGTGCAAATGGGCTACATAACAAGACAGTTTCAAGTGTTGCATCAACATTCCAAAACAGGAAACGAGTGCTCAATTTTCAAACTGTAGCCATGTCGTATGCAAGAGAAAACACAATATTGCCCTTGGCTCACCAACACTAGCAGAAAGTAAAAACTATAAGTAAGATTCAATTCTTGGATATGTAAGCCGGCGATCGATAAACTTTATTAATTCATGCAGTATAAAACTTAAGGAACTAAATAGCTTTATCTATTCGTGTTAATGGATTTAATTGAAAACAACAAAAATGAAAGCTCATCCGAAAATCGAAAGCGAAATTAATATTGCTTTGATGCAGGTTTAACTGAATTTATTTATTAGAGTGAATAAAGAAATACTTAGCTTAATCTATTTGTTTTCGGAACTGTCGGAACTCATCATATGATATTTATGCAAGCTCATCCGAAAACCTAGATTCTTGTAGTTTGGATCAGTTTCTAAATAGTCAATTTATTAATGTCTGCCTGTTTCATTGAAACTAGGGGCTACGTGAACTATTTCCAACATGTAAGAGTTTATTTTTGTATTTCGTTTTTATTTACCCCCCTTCGATTTGAAATACCTTTAGTTACTATAAATATATATACAAGCATGCTTGGATGCATGGGTGCGTTATATAGAAATGTGTTCCACTAAAACATTTATGCTTGTTAAAGCTTTTAACTGAATCGAATATATTGCTAGACATGTGAGTCTCGTTGTAAACTGCAAATTGCTTCGATATTCGGTTTGTCAAAAGCTCTCTTGCACAGTCGAACACGGCTCGTACGTAATTCTAGGCAATAAATCTGACTGCAATCGACGACAGAGGCAATCAACAAGACACGGATGGACGCACGGACGGATGGGTGGCCGAATGCAGGCACGGACAGACAGACGGACGGGTTGCGGACGGGATTTTGTAAGCGGGTGTAGGATTCGGTTGTGCAATCGATTAACGGCACGTTGATGCCATGTGCGGGAAATTAACATGCAAGCACTCTTGAAGTGTCCTCAAGTTAAGCAATGGCTTTCACAAATAAAACCTTTTGCGCTAAGGAGATTTCAACAGCTTAATGTCGTAATTGTTGATTTACTTACAGCAAGTACTTTTAGGAATTGCAGTGCTGTAAGAATGTGTGTGTGTGCTCCTTAAATACTGATGTAACTGGAGTCGGTTATTTTTAAAACCATGTTTGAATTTTGCATGCCTTAATTATAATTTGCTTGTGTCGTGTGCATTTTGCATGTTTACCCTTTTAAGATATGTATATGAATATGTAAATATATCGATAAAAATTGTAATATAATTTTTAACTATTTATTAAGTGTGTAATTTGCTGGCGCCATTTCAATTTAATTTATGGAATTCTCAACTTAATTTATGCTGAAAAATAAATTTATTGCATTTTTATTTAGAGGATCCGATAGTCAGCTCGTAGTACGCCTTTAACTAAAAACATTTTCAAAAATACAATAAATAATTATTGTGTAATATTAATATGTACGTAATAATGTGTAATATCAAGTAAAAGAAATGTCATAACAGAATCGTGGGGTATTTTTTAACCGAAGCACTCTGTTGACCGCACCACAGAGCATTGTTAAGAGTGTTGTAAATGCTTTGACTGTTGGTCGAATTGTTTTAACGGCTTTAGTTCAACACCTGTCTCTGCGCTTTTATAAAGCTGATATCAGGTGCGATCTGATTTTGCTTTCATTGTGCTATCGTAGCCGTTGCTGTTATCTGTAACCTCAATTGAGGCACAAATTGTGCTGGCTATGGATGGAGAGTGGTTGAGCTTATTTGCAGGGCTGTCCACTGCACTTAGCACAATGTATGCCATTTGGCAGGCAAGTTGAACATGTGCTGCAATGATTGCTGCACTTTTTGATGCCAGCTGATGAGCGGCAGCTTCGAGTGGCCATTTTTGAATGCTGACACATGCAACAGGAAGCTGCCACAAAAGGCAACTCGAACTGCAACTGGAAAGACTGCAACGACTGCAACTCCCAGCATAGCTGTCAACGTCGTTGTTTTCAGCTCCAGTTCCTTGGTCGCATTTTGTGTGCTGAGCTTATTAAAAATTTATGCAGTTTATGGTAGTCATCCCCCCCTGCCCTCCGCTCCGTCTCTGACCAAGATTCGAATGTCGTGCAGCTTGTGGCTGGACATGTCTGCGCTTGCTGCTGCTTTTGCTGCTGGTACTGCTGCTGTTGATGATGATGTGTCGAAAGGCTATAAAGCAGTAGCTTTGCTTGGGGGAATGAACATAGCTGTTATAACTCAAGAACTATCGCATAAGCCAGCAAAGTGCACTCAATACTATTTTCAGTCAACAGAATCCATCAAAAGTTTCTGTCGCACTCGGAATTCAGCACAGCTAGAACTTATACTGAGCTAGTTTAGAGCTTCGCTGAGGAGGGGAGCAAATAACGTGAATAAACTTTATATATCCGAAAGATAGTTGCCATCGTTTTGGGTTTTGTGCTCTCTGAACTGGATTCAAAACAATGTATCAATAAGCATTAATAATAGTTAAATGCTCTTAGCCGCACCTAATTGATTTGATTTATGGATTAGAGCAGCGCATCTCACATTTGGAGAGTGTGCAATTAATTAATTAAAAGTTTGTGTATACAACTTGTTAGTTACAAACTTATCCGACCTTTGGGTTAGGTAAATCGGCAAGAAAGTTGTTGTACAAGTTGTTGCACGCTTGTGGATAATGCTGTAAATTTGCAGAGTACAGTCCGCACAGCAAGTTAAACAGTGTGGCAAATTCTATTGCATACAACAAGGCATAGACAAGAGGAGAGATTGGTGGCAAAGATAGAAGGCAGAGGGCAGACACAGTTGCCTGACAGTCAAAAGCTTGGCAAATGTTTAGCTGCCTTCTGCCTTCTGGTTTCTAGTAGAGATTGGTCGAAATAGAGGGCGGCGAGGCGGCATGTGAGGCGTATAATTTTTGGATAAACAGCAAGTACAAGTACAATCCATAGGCAACACACACACACACACACACATATGTATACATATAAACACACGTGCAGACTGGCAAATATGGATAGTAAATTTGCATGCATACCCTGAACGCTATCGAATCCACACACACAAACAACGCTATTACAACAAAAACACCCGGTTAACATGCTGGGCCTCGTGTGTCAAGTGCACTTGTGGGTTGTGTGGGTTGTGTGGGTTGTGTTTATGAAGTGTGTGGCCTGCCTAGTGTAAAGTGCAACATAAACAAAAGCCGCACACACCCCTGCTCTTCCTAGCCAGCTGTCTCTGTTTGCCAAATGTTAACCGCACTTAATCATTGGTACACCTTCGAGTTGGCTTGTGCATGACAGTTGGCTACTCTGTGGCGTTTTCATAAAAATGAAAAAAAAAACCAACCTGGATTCGCGACAATTATATATACATAGTTTCAAGTGCATCAGTCTTCAAAGGCATGAGAATTCT